ACACATGTGCCCGACATGTACAAAAGACTGTGAAAGTTAGTGCGGGGTGGGACAACAGGGTGGGAGCACATAACGCTCCCAACACACTTGACCCAAAAGGGCACAACATACCAAACAATTTCTGGTTGACGATGTTCCGTTTCGCGTTTAACCAAACAACTTGACCGTTCACGCCAAACCACAGGTCAGGACATTGACAAAACATCTCAACTCAGAAAACCAGGTTAAAATAAAAAAATAAATTGCGCGAGAAATTCACGGTAAAATGCAGCCGGGTTCAGGATGCCCTTTAACCCCAGGGGCTACGTGCAACCAAAACATAAATCAAACCACAGGTTTGATCACACCCGACCGGCCTGAACATCAGACCCACGTTAACGCCAGGGACACGAGGTGCAACAGAGGAGAGCGCGAGCAAGCAACACGCGGAGGAGCGAGAGAAGAGGACGCAAAGAGCAGAGGGTGGGGTTGCAACATGTTGCAACTACACCTACCGAAGTCTGTTCACAGATGAAGCATTATCTACTAAAGTAGAACATCGCTTATCTTGCCACAGACTCATGACAGCTCTTTGCACTCGCAACATAAGCAAAACAGGATGTGTGGACATGAAAAACACACACCAACAAGCACCTCACACCTGTGGTCACCAAGCGATCTATGCGGATACCCAAAAAATTGAACCAGCACTTTACCGTCATGCTTAAACTGCTGTGCGGAAAAACATAAAAAGCAAAACAGAATATCACTTTCGACATCACGAACCCGACAACTTGACAACACTGGATCGCTCACGCCGGTGCCTATTTTTCTTCCAATACTTTGAATAGGTCGGGGTAAATGCCAGGTGCCATCCACATCCCAAGTGATCATCCATCACCTGACCGACCTGCCAAAGCACATTCGCGGAGGACAGCAAAGTCAACGGCTGTTTCCTCGGCACCAAGCTGCAAGCAAACTCCGAAGTCAAGTCTCGACGGCCCATCGGCCAAATTGCTGGTGGTTGGAACCATGCAGAAGTATGGAGTGGTGTTCAGGTCCGACTCCGGCAAAGTACCTTGGTGGCTCATCCGTCTAGCATGCCTGGAGTCAGCTGACCCCTTTATCCAGCTGTGCCTTGCACCATCGTTGTCAATGAAGACAAGTACATGGCGGTCACGCAGCAATCCACCCCAGCAAGACAAGGCTAAGTTGTACGGTAATACTTCAGCCTCAAAGACCAGGTTCTGTTTAACACCGCCAGACCAGACTGCAGTGACTTCGTCTGGAAGTCTCAAACCAAAGAACTTCAAGCCGCGCCGCCCCCAGAGCTGTCTAACAGCACTGCACCAATTGTCAGCCGCTGGCTCACAAGCTCCGTCTATGAAAAGCAAAAGCGTTTCTGAAACCCTTGCACGTGCACGGATCTCTCTCCGTGGGGCTTCAACAAGCCGCTTCAGCACCCATTCCAGTCCAAAGCGCGCATCGTCAGTCAAAGGCTGGCAAGGTAGGCCCCTGATCGCTGGAGCTCCAATAGCCTTCAGGGCCAGCTTAGCGCTCCTGCCGAAGATCTGGGACTCGGCGAACATGCCACTGATTGCTTTGATGAAACTTGTCACCCGACCATGCCAGATTGAAGTCACTCCTTCAGTTCGTAAGGTGCGCAGGGGCTCCTGGAACTTGAAAGCGCTTATCTGCGCAGGAAGATTGGGACCATGAATTCCTACGAAGCTCGATGTGACATAGTTTTTTTATCAGCGAGGGGAAGGGCTAAGTAGGCCCTTAAACGTCAGAGGGCAGCTCCATATTTGAGGATGTGGTGACCATCCTGAATTTCATCAACATCGTTGGGGCCGACTTCCATGATGGGAACCGGATGGCTTCGAACCCCACACTCAGCCAGCTGTCGCAGTGCTCCATCATTTTACCGGGTCGCGTGCAGCTTGCAGCTTTGAACGCAAGCCTCGATAAGACCGATGCGACGCCCAGCGCCTGGGCTTCAAAGGTTTGAGACGTGTAAGTGAGAGCTCGAGAAACACATGCCAAACACCACACCAGGAAGCATGTTTGATCTGCTGCGTGCCTGTGGCACAGCTGGAGCTATATCCGAGTTTTCCAATGTTTTCCATAGGTGTGTGGCAACGTGTTTCATCGCTCAGATATGGCTCTTGCTGTCAAAAGACACATTGACACTCAAGTTCTGAAGCTTTCCTCCTACTTTCGTCTGGCCAATGTTCTCATCCTCCAATTTATTTCCATTGTTTCCCTTTTGCACCCTTGTGATAGACAGTCTGAATGTGTGTTGACGAGAACAAGTCCAAGCCTTCAAAGTCTTGGCAGCGTCTTGGAAAGATAAAGCAGGAACAATTGATTGGTTCCAAGGTAGGCTTTCAAATAAATTGCGCGTCTATGCTGCTATCCATCAAGGCAAAACCAGATGCACAAGCTGCAGATCACCTGCCCTAGTTGAACTATGGCGAAGTACGACCGGTCCAAGTTGCAAGTATGTGGTTGGTTTGCCGTCCTGCTTTTTTGAGGGAGGGACCAAGTTGTGGAACAAACACGAGCAAACCACAAAGAATGCCGATTGAATTTCCGGGCCATTCTTAACTTCTTGACCTGCATCTTTTGGTGTAATATGTCAGTTTTTCCCAGCGCCTTTCCTAGATTTCCATTTTCCGAGATGGCTGGCATTTCGGAATAATCCTTCAATCCCTTTTGTTAAACAAAAAGGAAAACATTATCTATTATTTTATGTGAGAGAGACTGTCTCCAGTTTAAAACAATTCTTAAAGACCCCCCTCTGATGATGTAGTTTTTTTTGGCCTGGGAACCCACTACCAAAATTAATAATTTTGACATCACGGATTTGCATATGCTACAGTCATCCATCCCTTCGAACCCAGGAAAGAAATGTTGGTTCAAAATTATTTTCCTTTGGTGTACAAATGTCTGGCAACAGGAAAATAACTTTGTCACGTTGTTCATGGGGGGTGAGTTCATTCGATCATATCTGTATGTCAAACCCCAGAGGAAAAAACAATGATTGTTTGAGGGGTAAAGTTTTTACATGAATTCACAAGGTTGGGAACAAGGATTTTTTGTACTGAGACAATGCTGGATTTACATAGGTCAGACATCAGAAAAGCAACTTTTCCAGTACCTTTTGGACACAGGTAGCTGGATTTGGGTTTGTCTGTAATAAGGTAACCCCACCCAAGTCGATTCTCATTGGGCAATAATATCACCAGCCGCACTGCTCATTTTTTCCTGGCGCTCCAATTCAGAAATTACAAAAGTTATTACAAGCAAAAATATGCCACCATGGAATGCTTGTAAAGGTGAAGATACATTTGCCCTTGCAAAGGGGTACAAACACATATGCTCAGCTTCACCAAAAAAGTGACTTGAAGAGGTCGAGGCGCAGGTGTTAAAAATAAAATCCAAGGGGCTGGACCTCTTTTTGGCTGAATACTTGGACCTCTTTTTGGCTGAATACTTGCGGGTGATCTGCAAAGGTTGGCCCACAGGAGAAAGTCGCATCACCAGGCCAATCCTCAGTTTTTGATTAAGCCTAAGCCACAACGTAGACCTTCATCCATAGATAGGACATTATGAGACAAATTCAAGAATTTTGTGTCAACGCGTGCCCAAGTTGCAAAACACGTGTTTTTTTGGCTGAAGATACATCTGCCCCTTCAAAAGGGTTTCAAAGGGTACAAACACATATGTTCAGCTTCACCAACAAAAAAATGACTTGAAGAGGTCGAGGCGCAGGTGTCAAGAATAAAATCCAAGGGGCTGGACATTTTTAATGTTTCAAACTGAAACACAGCGAACACAGAACAATGTGGAGTGAACTGTTTAGGGTTGGAGGGTGGGCAGAGCCTTGACTGCAGTCCTGGCTCAAAGGGACATAAGGTCAGGTTCTGCCCCGGATGAGCTGTGGCGCGCGTGGCTATGGCATTGTTCGGAAGATGGCAGGACTTGGGAAATTGTTCGCAACATTGGCGATCTGAGGATGCACTTTGGAGTCACCGTTGCCCAGTGGGACGCCTTCACGGGCGTAGTGGGAAACTTCAATGATGACTTAAGGATCCTGGCGGCGTTCCCGAGGTCTGGACTTATTGGAGGCATTTCTCAGGCCTCCTTCCCTGATGGAAGCACTTTGAGTCCCGTCCAAGCCACTCAGCCTCGCAAGAAGGACAATCGCATTTCAGTCAGGACTTTTGGAGACAGAGTTCCAAGACATAGATCCATGGCAGGACCCCACTACTACAAGTGCGGGGCAATCGAGACAAAGCACCACGACGGCGAGTGTGAAAGAGAAGGTGTTGAAAATGTCGTCACTCATCGATCATGCAGCTTGCCCAATAGTGACCCTAGGAGGCTTCGCTGAGACCTTGCTTGTCATGCCTTCCTGATTCCATGCCAGACATTTCGCATGCGCTTCTACCATATGCCGCTTGCTAGAGCGGATCCTTCAGTCAGGTGGATAAGACCACCACAGGTGGACAATCATTTCCTTCTGTGCAAGAAAATGACTTTTCAACCAATCTGAAAACTTCTTTGAAACAATTCTGAACCCAGTTTGAAACCCTGCGGAAAACAGCATTTCGAGAGTAATCAATCAAAATCAACCAAAATCAACCAATCAATCAACCAACCAATCAATCAATCAATGTATCATCCTGGAAATCCAGGGGCTTTACGCATGCCATAGTCCCTGCCCTGGAAATCCAAATGGCAGGCTCAGACGGGGCTTTTCTCGGCCCAAACAATTGGAACCGTACGAACAAGAAAACCGAACCGTCCAGACCCGAACCGTTGCAGAACGGAACCGAACATGCTTTCGGTTCGGTTATGCAAAACCGATCTGACCGAAAACGAACCGACCCAGAGTGGAACCAAACCGTTTAAGAACCGAACCGAACATGCTTTAGGTTCGGCTCCATGAAACCGAACCGAACCGAACCGTGGCCATACTGTTCTGTTGAATTCTTCCAAAACAAAGAAGCCGGTTCCATCCTTTTCCCATTTCAAGAGACGCTGCGGGTGGGTGAGACATACCTTTGGACGTATTCCGGAGCAGCTTAGGCGTTTTGACAGGAAATGACGCCTGAAAAATGTTGAGCGTTAGCAACTAGCAGAAGCTTTGGCATATCCGGGAAACATAGAAAGCCATGACTCATGATCCAAAAGTACATCTTCCAAACCTTCGTCAACAAGTTCAATAGGATATAGGCGAAACCACTCCTTTGAGACCCACATTTGCATTCAAACATTTGTGATATTCTTGACCCGGATTCTGTATTCTGGCACTCCTGCAGCTTTGGCAGCAGCTCGCACGAAGCGTTGCTTGAAGCGATCTTGATCTCGCTGAACTTCTTCCAAGTCAGAGCCAGAACACTTGATGTGAAGTTGCAAGGACGTGGAGGTGTTTGAGGACAAAGACTGCATGGACCCAGATCCGAGTCCTCCGAGTCCTCCAAGTTGTCCCATCTGTCCCACCTGTTGTGGTTGTCGAGCTTTCACCGCCGGGGAGGCTGTGGGCGACGGCGTCGCATTTGTCGCCAGACCTGGACCTGGCGGAACTGACGCGGCTGCCATCGCTCCACCTGTGCCACCAGCTGCGGCAGCCGCGCCGCTCTCCTCCGCCGGCCATCCGCCGCCCGCGTCGAAGCCTGCGGTGGGGAACGGTGCCAGGCTGGCGCTGCCCGTGGCCGTGGCTTCTGCCGGCCACGCGGAAGCCGAAGCATCGCCCCAGTTGCCCCACGTGGAGTCGAAGGCGGCGAAGTTCGAAGCGCCACCGGCTGTTTCTTGTGGCCAACTCGAAGCTGGAAAGGATGGAAAGGCACCGGATGCACCGTCTTTCTCTTTGTCAGACTTGTGATCGCTAGACACAGGTGATGCTGCTGGAAAAGGCTGTGATGCACCACTGCCTTGCGTCCCAGTGGTCCCTATGGGTGGTGGAGGCACTGAGGGCGCTGCAGAAGTCTCTGACAGAACGCGAGGCCGGGAGTTCTTGCGCGTCTTCCATTCCCTCTCCATGTTCTCAAGTCTTTCCAGCACATTGGTGATCTGGCTGAAAAGCGCAGCCCCATCATCCTGCCAGGGCCACAAATGACTTCAGGCTGATATCTATGGGTTGCACAAAATGTCTCAAAATACTTTCTGAAAACCATCGGAGTAAGATGGAATAGAATGGCATAAACAGCCTCTTTGCTGCAACTAGACTTGAGCCCATCTTGGGAAGATCACAGAACCATGGGACCCGATCGCCCCAACCTGGTCGAGAACAATCTCGGCTGCAGTTTCCAGATTCGGCCGCAGCTCATTACAGGCTTGGAACTGTTCATTGACCATCTGGGCACCGTCAGCCTAAGGACAAGGAAATCCTTTTGAAGATCAAAAACGATACCTGCTATGACAGAGAATGAACTAAGATTAGGGATACAAAATGCTGCTAAACCTATTCCAACTTTGTTGAGTATCCTTTTTTTAACCATTTGTAAGTAGAGTTTTGTTCTTTCGTTGCCCCTATCAAAAGGGTCACCAGTGCCGAAGCACCTGAAGCACTTTCCAGTGGCCAAGGCACATCATCTCCTGCATGGGCGAGGATGTTCTCGATCAGCTCCAAGTGGCCCTCCAACTTCCTGGCCGCTGCTGGCTGCTGGCAGCTGGCAGATCTCGGGGGACCGATTCTAATTCAAACCCATCTGGTAGCAGCGATTTCGGCGATTTCGTTTCTTCCATCATTTCCCACTGGAGCGGATTTCAACCGATCAACGACTTTGCGGCCGCAAATCAGGGACGTCCATGAACCTGCCTGACTTCAAAAATAGACCCTTTGATCAAATGGGGATTTGGAGGAATCTTAAGCAGTCTGAATTGTGTGTGAATTCACGTGATCCATATATAACAAAAACGCCGTGACTGTCTTCCGTTTCAAGATGTACCGCTCAAAATGAGGCCCACTGTCCTGATATCATCTGACGGATCCATCGGGGTGCCTGAGCTCTCCGAAATCTAGCAAAATCGTGGAATCGAAATGCATCAGAACGCCTTTGCAAGAAAAGGAGAATTATGGAAGATTGCAGCAAATCACAAATCAACTACGAATTACGACAATTCTTCATTCCTCTTCAGCTACTTCCGCCAAAATTCTTTGGTTTGCTGCTTTGCTGAGCAAGCTGCTGGGACCAAACAGGCTGCAAGGCAGTTTCTCACCTCTGATTGCTACTGGATCCTCTTGGGTACTATACTGGGTCCTGCTGGACCTGAATCAGCTGCTCTGCCAGCCTTGCCTTTGTGGAGTTTTGATCAATTGTCAATGACTCAATGACCCTTGTCCTGACGTTGAAACTGTTTCCGTGGAAATGCGAAAAGCGCCACAAACAAATCTGCCACATGCCATTGAAAGTCGAAAGCTGCCCACATGAAGCATTACAATGGCACCTAGTCTTGTGCGCAAGGCGTCTATGCAAGGCGTCTATGCAAGGCGTCTAGTCTTTCAGAACCTACAAAATCGCAACTCAAGATGCACGTGGCTTCTTATTTTGCCATCAGCTCATTGCTCTCTGCAGTCCCCCACGCAGAAAGTTCTGACAAAAGCCCCTTGAAATCTCCCGACCATAGCTGAAGCGTCTCAGCTTAGTCGAAATCAGCAGCTGCAAGCAGTCTTGCCTTGACAGGCTGGAGGTGAATGCATGTAGATCCACTTGGCGCAGGGAAAAACAACTCTCAATATCTCTCAATTCAAGACAGCTCTCCACCTGGACTCAAAAAACGACTCAATAAATTTCTGTTTTGACACCATCCACCTGGGCGTTTCGCTCAGCTTCAAGCAGCTTCTTCTTCCTCGGCGTCATCACGGAAAACACGACGAACGCACCTGTGAGAGCTGGAGCCATGACATCCAATGGAACGACAATGTACATAAGAACTATATAATTATACTATATAAATCCGCCCACACCGCTTTGGCGGTGAAGGCGTGCTTATTGGGGGGCAAAACAGCAACACTAAATGCTCAATGACATTTGTTAATATAGCAGTCGCTATATCAGCTTTAGCTGGGGGGGGGCAAAAACGGTTTCGCACCGAGACCAGAATACGGTGGTGTTTTCGACATTTTTCGATGATTTTTGGGTGTCTGAGCGCAAGAGGGTATTGAAATGGAATTTTGGGTCATTTTGGTAGCTTTCCGGCAATGGAAAAACGGCCAAAAATGAAAAAAACATTGTACATAGCAAGATTTTGCAGGGTTTTTGGATGCCAGAGCATTGAAAACACTGCAAAAACAAGTGTTTTGGACTGACGTTATAGCAAAAAACGTGTAAATTACCGTATGCTTGACTGGAAACATTACAAAAACACTGTCAAAAGCAATGTTTTGGAAGGATTTACTGCCTTTATGGCAAAAAACGTGTAAATTACCGTCTGTTTGACTGGAAACATTGGAAAAACACTGTCAAAAACAATGTTTTGGAAGGATTTCTTATATATATGTTGGAGTTGGCTACCGGCATTGGAACATGGAAAAATTGAAGAAAACACTGTAAATAGCGGTATTTTCAACGGTTGGGGAGATAAGGGAATTGGAAGCATTGTCGAACATGATGTTTTCGACCGGTTTTATGGCGACAAAAGTGTAAAGTACCGTGCTTTGAAGGAAACCATTGCAAAAACATGGAAACACATTCAAAGAACACGGGATTTGGGGGACTATCTAGGCGTCGTTGTCTAGCTATTTGAAATTCCGCAGCTTGGAGAGCCTCCAAGGGAGGGAAAAGTGAAAATTCCATAGCTTGGGAAGCTGTCACGGCGGGGAAAAGTGAAAATTCCCTAGCTTGGGAAGCCCCCACGGGGGGAAAAGTGAAAATTCCCTAGCTTGGGGAGCCCCCACGGGGGGGAAAAGTGAAAATTCCCTAGCTTGGGGAGCCCCCACGGGGGGGAAAAGTGAAAATTCCCTAGCTTGGGGAGCCCCCAAGCTTGGGGAGCCCCCACGGGGGGGAAAAGTGAAAATTCCCTAGCTTGGGGAGCCCCCACGGGGGGGAAGTTAAAATTCTTAGCTTGGGGAGCCCCCACGGGGGAAAACCACCCTTAGCCCCTCTCACGGACCGAAATAAACCTGCGGTGTGGGCGGCCACCCCACGCGAAGCGGGGTGAATATACTAAATTATACTATTTAAATATATAATTAAATATATACTATATACTATACACTATATTTACAATAATTATACTATACAAATTAATTAACTGATATATATATAATGTACGAATCATTGTCGAGTATCCAAAACATCATCGGCAAAATTCCGCAGAGGGTGTTGCCCTTAATCTTTGAATGTCTGGGGACGAAGTAAAAGCCATAGCTGCATGGTTGGACATGGTTGGACATGGTTGGACATGGTTGGACATGGTTGGACATGGTTGCGCTGAAGTGCTGGCCTGCAAGTGATCAGAAGACTTAAACGAGAGCGATCGGGAATCGCAATCACCTGAAACAGCACAAACATCGGAAAGTTGGCATGAAAGTTGTATACTATAGGCTGACTGGGCTTAATCATGTTTAGGCTCTCCAGTGCCCTGTCGGAGCAAATGCAGCCCGTGTTGTACAATGTGACTCGGAAGCCTGTAATGTGTCATGATCGCAACAGTCGCAACATGAAGAAACCATGAAGAAACCATGAAGTCAACCTAGTCGACCCATTTCTGCGAGCCCCGACCCCGTTCAGCACCAGCACAGAACCTTCAGAAATCGCTCGGGGCCAGGCCTGTTGCAGCACACAGACCGCGCTACTCATGCTACTCTGTACTGTGGTCACCCGGAATCAGTGTGTAGTCTATCTTGCATGTGTGTGCGTTTTGCGTGGTCGCGCATGCAATCCGATACGACCGCAAATTCAACCACAGGAGGAATACCGGGAATACGCTCAATTCTTGAACAGAAAGGTCTCCCTTCTAATGAGGGAGGGGCGGGACAAGAACGGACAAGTTCACTGACAGTTTGGATGGTGAATATTCAAGCCCATTTTCCGCAACAAGTAAATCAAGATTCACGACGACTGTTGAACTGTCACCAGAACTAGACTAGATTCAGGACTAGAGATTGACCATTGAACAACAACTACGGAACTAGAGGGGCTTTCAGAGTGAAGCAGTGCTTCGGTGGGTTGCCAAAGCATCTCGAGCTTGGGATGTCATGCTGAGAAGTGTGATGTGAAATTCAAGTGGATCAAACTGCGATGTGAACCGGTCTGAAATTCTGTGGTCTGACGGCTGATGAAACTCCAAAGCCTGTGAGACGCGAGCATCCACGGTGGCGTCAGCCCAGCCGGTGTGGTCGCGCAAGAGCCTCCATCGCCAGCCATTCTTTTGCCACTGAAGTTCAGTTTTCTGATGCAAACCCACCCATTAGATATCCTCAGATCCTTGTGCCATCGGCAATAAATTATGGATTCGAAATGGTTTGATCGGTTTGATCAGTTTGATCCTGCTGGAATCCTGGAGTCAATCTGAGGACATGGCAGCACCACTTGTCCGCATAGCAGTTCAACCTTCTGTATCAGAACCTCATCAACTGCACATTCACAGCCACATACTGCACATACTGCACATTCACAGTCAAGGCTGTCAAGGCTGTCAAGCTCACATTGTTCTGGCTTGCATTATTGGAGTGTGGCCACCTCCCTCTGACGTGCATCTTTGACTACACTGACTATATTGTACCGCAAAGCAGTCAAGAGGTGATTTAAGAATTCTCCCCTACCATCCCCTAGCTGTCTGTGGCGCGCGAAGGCAAAACACATTGGTTGGGTAATGAAAGAAATCCTGAAAATGTTTTTTAATATACATGCTTGCTTGGAGTCATTGTATCTGGCAAACGTGAACGCAGCTGAACCAGCATTGAATTATTGGACTCAATCGGGTGCACCTTTCGTGCACGGTAGGACAGCCTAGTGCGTACATTGAGTCCCCCGCTATCAAGTTCAGCTTCACCGGAACGTTGGAAACCTCGGGCCATGCATTGAGTCCCCCTTCTCTCTCTTTCTTTTCACTTTCGCTTCACTTTCTCGACTTTCTCTTCACTTCTCTCCGATGCAGCAGATGCACCAGCGACTTTCGGGGAGGTTGGATAAGTTTCGATAAGTCTTGGTCCAAGGAGCCCAAGATGGCCCAAGATGGCCCAAGATGGCCCAAGATGGCCCAAGATGGCCCAAGATGGCCCAAGATGGCCCAAGATGGCCCAAGATCCAACATCCAGAGATCCCAACATATCCCAACTACAAACATGAAGCGAACCATGAAGCGAGACAACACATCTTGCACCTGAGATGCCAACATAGTGGAGGCACTGGAAGCCTGACCCTGACAGCCTCGGGTCCTGCCAGCAAATTCAGAAAATACAAAAGCTTTGAATATGTTTGAATCATTTCGAATCCTGAAACATCCTGAAACCAAGAGCTGACGGTTTTCGCCTTCAAAGTTTTCTTACCATTAAACAGTGCCACGCAGAACCAAATCACAAGATATCATTATACAGACATGTCTCATCATGTATCAATTGCTTCTCAGAAACACTGATGTCATGTGCAGCTCAGGGAAGAATCATGCATCCCTGGATAACCACGCGTAACCATGTGTAACTCCAAATTATCCATTGAATTATCCATTGAATCCATGTCTCTTTAAGGTCAAACGCGTCCAACGAATCAAAACGGACGAAACGCACCTGGCATCCACCGAGCCCCAAGTGAAATCGATCGAAGCTGAGGCCGTTCTCCTGCGTCGATCCATGGGCTGAACATATGTTTTTCCATTTGTTTCCTATGACAAGGGACGTTTTGAGGGACGTATAAGGGACGTTTGGATCCATTTGGGGGGTTCTTCCACTACACACCAACATGCCAAATCCCATGGAATCCATGTGATTCACACATGTGTGAAACATCATGAAAAATCTCTCCTGAAGTGCTTGAAGCCAGGCCACAGATTGATTCAAAGGGATGGCAGATGCCTCTTTGTGCACCACCTGAGCACAGCAGAGAGTTTCCAACACGCATGCTGTGTCTTCTCTGTGCCTTCCCACTTTGGTCTTCATGTGTCTTCTTCTTGTGTTCCCATTGTTTCATGGTGCACAAGGTCTTGCAAATTGGTCCCAGTTTATTGATATCACATGACTCAAAAATTCAGCTTGTATTTGCATGTTCAACTTTCAGTGGCAAACATTGCATGACGGAAGGGCCAGAGTAGCACCCGCAGGGCCAGGAGGCCCTTCCTGGGCAGCTGATTCTCATGAGTAAGTTGAAGCACTAGTGATGATATGATATGATATATGATATATTATATATGATATATGATGTACGATGTATGATATATGATATATGATATATGACATGACATGATATGATATGATATGATATGATATGATATGATATGATATGATATCACTACGTATATCTCTTTGATATTGATGTAGTATGATTATGATGTTGATGCTAGGCAATTCTGATCATTCTGGATCAGTAAGGGTCAAATTTTCGGACTTGCTCCATCATCAACAAAGAAAAATTATGAAAACTGTGGCTTGACTACTGCTACATCTCGACCAGAAAGCGTCACTGAGATGTTGGCTTCTCCTTCTTGACCTTGACCAATCACACAGTCAGATCCATCAGATCCATCAGAAGAAAGGACGTTCTGTGCCCCGATTCTCGTGCCTTGAAACGTGCTATGTTGGCATCCTGGTGTCTTGGCCCTTAGGCTCCAACATCGGACTTCTGCCGCCAGGGCATCGCCAAAGTCCATGCTTCGGATGACCCAAGGCCCCGTGAGACCCGCGTGAGACTCGTGAGATCTACGGATGTCGTGATCAAAAAATCGATGCGAAATGGTCCGACATGAACGTCTCTGCGTCTCTGGACGTAGCTGGCATTTCAGGCCTGCCATCTGGGACAGCTTCGCTCCATTTTACTCCTATGGCACTCGTATATACTCGTGGTGTATGAAACATGTTCTCTGGGCCTAGTCCGAGCCAGCGTCACAGGCAGGCCACGTTTTGGCAACTTCAAGATGGACACTCAAACCCCTTCCAACATTGTTCCAAGATGAGTCTACCGGAGCCAACTCTTTTTACTCCCAGCGGTAAGTAATGAATTGCATCCATTCCTGAGTACGAGCAAACAAGCTGATGCCAAAAATGTGGCTACATGGATGAAGAAAGCTGCAGCAACCAGAGATCCATGTAGATCCATGGAAATTTCTGAGCGCCAAGTTGCATCCAGCAATTGGGTAGGTTTGCCCCACAGCTCAAAGTAGCGATCCAAGTTGGAGTACAGCCTTTGCGCTGTCCGACTGTCCCCAGAACAGAAGTAATTACAAGTAGGCACAAGAAGCGAACACCTTTGTCTAACATTGTGTAGGCCTTTTGTCTTTCCAAATGTTTTTCCATAACAATTTTGACTTTTCATCTGCAAGCTGTGCAAGCTTGACAGAATCGGTAGCCTTTTGTTGGCCCGTGCTTGGACTTCGCTTTCATCCCGCTCTGGGAAAAGTCGAGGAAATTCCGGCACTTCCTGAGGTCCGAATCAGTTCCAATCGCATGCTGGTTTTGTCTTATCCCCCTGAAGTGCGATTCTTGACACGAAACTCAACGAATCTCGACATCTTACGACCAAGTAGCAAGTGGGTGTGGCCCACCGTTGGATGCATGAAGAGATGCGATCACCACACATCTGTCTTGCTCATATGTTTCGCCATCCGGAGGAAAGAGTACACGGTGAGGAATCGTCGGTGTAAACATAACCTTGAAATTGTCAAGAAAAAAATATGCTCAGGGCGGATTCATGTAGATTCAAATTTCACCTGAATGGACAGTGACAAGATGTGACAAGATGTGACAAGATGTGACAAGATGTGACAAGATGTGACAAGATGTGACAAGTGACAACATCTCCCTCTTCAACATCCTGAAAGCGAATTCGTCGATCCTTCAGTTGAAACTCCAGAGTGCCAAGGCCATGTCTTTGTGCCTTTTGCAGAGGAATCCAACATCTCACCACATCTTTCTCTTCAGCAACAGCTGAAATCACACCAACCTTCAGCAATCACGGCACTGAGAGAATTGTTCTGACTGATTGCTGCATGGCATTCTTGATATTCTTGTTTCCTTGCGTGCCTGCAAAACCATGAAAAGCTGCGCAATTTGGTGATTTTTGAGAGATTTGAGAGGATACAACACATTACAACACTGGATACACATTCTGAGTCTCTCTGAGTCTCTGACATCGGTGTGGAACTTCTCTGGTTCCGTGAACCTGCCACGGCGTCGCCACGGATGTGACAACGTCGACATATCCACTGCATTCCACTGCTCTGTTTCCAGACTGGCCCAGCTATTGTTGTCACATGTTGTCAACATGTGCCATCTGCAGCTCAATCTTCTTAATCCAAGGGACGGTGGTAAATATGGATTGACGTTGAGCTGATCCACGATGAGACGTACTTCCTTGGAGCCCTTGAGTTTGGCCACCAGCTGAGCGATGCAGGAGGAATACCAGAAATCCAAATAGCCCTGGTTCGTCAAAAAAAGCCCTGCTTGAACATAATCCATAGAGAAAAAGGTCCGCAAACTGGTGAGAACTGCTGTGACTTGTGGATGGTCCATCTGGTGCAGTGTCACCTGCTTCAAGTATGGCACCTCAGACATCTGGAAATTCATGCAACAACAGACTTTTGGCCATTTGGCATATTTGGCCATTTGAGCAAAGCACATTATCTTTAATTCATGTTTGGTTTGTTTCAGACATGCAAAGAAAATTTGGCCAGGGACCCACTCAGGTATCACTCCTCGCAGCAACACCACGCCATTCTCCTCAAACTCCCGCACCTGCGAGGAAACATGCGGCTGCCATTCCAAAACACAACGAAACCCACGCAGCCGAGTGAGGAACAAGATATAGAAGAACCATTGTTTCCCAAATGACAAAAGCTGAAGCAAGGAAACAAGCATGAACGCGAGAACGTGCCTCTGTTTCGCTGATGTCTGGACAGGAGCTTACTTTGGGAAGGGGTGCTTTTGGATCTTGTACTCCAGTGGTCCACGACCGAAAGTCTAAGGTCTGCCAAAACCTCAAAAACAATCATCACCAGAACTTACAGAATAGAAGACAGCCACACGCAAAAGCGATAGACTCAATGTCTTTAGATGCTACAGTCAACACCTGGCATACACTGACTTCTCTGTCATTTTTCTCAGCCCCGAAACCGTTCGCGGCTGCGGCGTAGACGACGCAAATGACGACCACGCAATGCGCAGGCAGATGAAAGAGCCACTGCTGCGGTGAGCGTTGCCGGTGCTGCCGGTGCCAGCCCTGAAAGCGTGGACCGTGTGGACCGTCGCCAGGTGTGCTTAGCCACACAGGAAAAAGGCACAGCTGCCAAGGACGCATGGATGGGGACGGCGACACATGGAGAGGTTGGGGCGACAGCCATGAGGATTCAAAGATTTCAAAGCCAAGATAAAGCTCTGGAGTAGAACATGGCCGACTTCAAGTCATGCAACATGACTCAGTATCCGTCTGTCTGTCACTTGCACCACTTGACGCAACATGTTTTTAATGGCAGTCATCATCATCAGTTGTTGATTTTTGTCAATTTGCAACTTGAGATTCCAAAGGATGCCTTTAAGGGGCTGAGAGCCAAAGTGGAAAGCTGAGAACAAAGACAGACTGTGGAGGGCTTGGGCTCATGTTCCAATGAATCACACTGGACACCTGTTTCGCTCGTCTTCAATTCTGCAATCAATGTGAAGTTTTCTACAAAGCACAAACTGTCGGTTCTGTCTGCATTGAGCTTTGTCGACTTGGAGTTCTTAAAGCTCAGCTTGGACCTCTAAGTGGTTGATCAATGCGCATCAATGTAGGGCTTCCTCAGAATAGGTCCTGGTGCCTCCAAGCTTCACCGCTCTTTCAGCCTTGGTCCAGACCCGCATCGAAGATATCGAAGGGTGCTGGAAGTCTCGAAGCATGTGGACTGCGTCGAACTGTTCAACATGGAACAACATTTCGAACAACATTTCGAACAACTGATGACGCAAATGTTCGGAATGTCCCGATGAAAGCGGGGAGATTCGAAGGATTTCGAAGGATTTCGAAGGTCAAAAGGCAGGATGAAGAAGTGCATCGCCCAGTACAGCGGAGGAATTGCGACGTTTCGCTTTGTAGTACTTGTAGCCACCTTCATTAAAAGAGATCACTGCCTGAATCCACGCTTTTCGTCCTCGAGCCCTGGCAAAAAGAGGGGAAGGGTGAAAATTGGAAACGCCAGTAACCTAAACCATGTAAACCTTTGCAAAAGAGTGAAAAGAGGGGAAGAGGGGAAGAGGCAGCCTCTAAAGATTTGGCCCAAGCCGTGCCTCTTTTCCAGATGATCAAGCACCACCAGGTTATCTGTTTCACTAAAGCCTCTATGGACTCGATAGTGATCCAGCAAAGGACCAAAGTGGGGATCCACACCGATGAAATAATAGCAGAATTCCAGCAGCGGGCCAGTAATTTCCAGAATTCCACTGGGGTCCAACGGGCAAAATTCACGAAGGTCTGCTACAAACAGCTCCGCACCATCCTCATATCGACTCAGTTTCATTAAGCTACAAGCAGTTGAAAAGTGGGAACCCAGCTCTGAAGAAAAATATGTTCTAAGCCATCTGAACTTGTATACCCTACACACTCTTACAGTCTCTTTTGTATTTATCAGGTTTTGCAAAGGCAAAAACTCTTCGCTTCACGTGCTCAACTTGGTATGTCAAGTGTCCATGAGTCTCAACTTACTCCTGAGGTCCGCATTGGACGCCGTGGCATGATGCACCGTGTCTGTGAGCACAGCAGAGGTCAGGAACATCCCGGAATATGCCACCAAAGGGCTGTAGATCCCCCAGCGTACTGTGGTGAGATTAGACACTGGTGACATATCCCCGTCCGTGAAATTCACCAAACCCCGGATCTGTTGCAGGATGTAATTCAGTAGAAGCTGCTCAAAAGCCACAGCATCCATGGAGGGCAGCAACCGAACCAAGATCTCTTGTCCCTGGAGTCGTGCCCCAAGAGCATGATAGAACGCACCCACCGCAGCCGTGGGTTTGAACACTAAGACCCCCGAATTCGCTTGTTGCCAGCGATCTCCAAAGGCAGCCTGGAGCAGATCAGAGAACGCCCCAATTCAATTCGTCTAATTCTGGTGTCAGGTGCTCAGGTGTCATGTCGAGGCTATGTCAGATTGACTGGTAACTGGTATCAATCCAATTCAAAAGAACCCCAAGATATCCCCAAGCGCATCCAAGCACATCCAAGCACATCCAAGCACATCCAAGCACGTGATTCAACCTTTGTGTGTTGTAATCCCAACTTGTCGAACAGCCTGCTGTAGGAAGCAGATCTCCGCGTCTTCCATGCACTTCTCCAGGGTCCGAGTCCATCCGCGACGCCTCAAACGGTGCTTATCGCATGGCAACATGCATAGAGGAAACACTGGTTCCATCATGGAGCTTAAAGTGGTTCCATTATGTTCCATTGTTTCAGAAGCTAATCTTAGGCAAATTCTTTGTGTGTCTCAGCTTGAAATCATGAGTTACTCAAGCATCATCAGCTGGTGAGTCCGAGGCACACTTGCACATCCAAGTCCATAACCACTACCATGTCATCCTCTGACTGTACGCCGTCCAAATAAGCTTCAAAGAGAAATAGCAGCTTCAAATAGTTGAAGGCATAGACCCGACGAGCTTGTGGTGCTTTTCCGGTGAGTTGGAAGCCCCTCCTCTTGGTATCCTTAAAATCGGGCACCCATCGCACCGAAACACGGACAGGTTCTTGGGCGCGCTGGAAGGTGGAGATAAGACGCTGCATGGTTTCGGTGTATTTCGGTGAAGCCATCAGCCAAATGTGTGGCGCACGTGGCGCACGTGGCGCACGGCGCATCTGCCTTGCCCCATCTCCCCCCTCCTGATCCTCCTGGCATTGTGCTTGTGTTGCATGTGTTGCATGTGTTGCATGTGTTGCATGTGTTGCATGTGTTGCATGTGTTGCATGTGTTGGTTTACAGGATGTATCAGTCTCAGCATGGATCTCAAAGTCCTCCCGGCCCACGAAGTTGTGCTGCATCCATGTCTGTTCGTACCCGAAGTTCCAACACGATGCACTCATGTCTGTGGACCATGGGAGGAACGTGAGACGATGATCACCATGATCACGATGATCCTCCGACACCGATAGATATTGGCCTTCGGTAAATTTGCCATCGTGTGCCACTCGCAGCCAGACACAGGGCTCGCTGTCGACGACTTCTTGGTTTTCTCCTGCTCGGACCACGTCCCAGGTGCCGAGAGTGTCCAGTCCGTCACAGGATTCGCTGAGCCACACGGTCGTCGAAGCCGGCGCAGCTGGGCCAGCAGGGTCACTGCGGCTGCATAGAAAATGCCTTCCCCGCTGAATGGTTACCCTCACAGCGGCTGTTGAATCTACCATGTGGCTTTCCATCACTGGTCCAGAAACATATTTCACGGTCCAAAAATCAGCACAAACGTTTTTCAATGCAGCAATGGGCTCCCCCAACTCTGCCGACACACAAAGCTGTTTCCTGAGTTGCCAAGTTCTCCTGGAAGACATGGATCTGCCCGTGGAAATAGTCACCAAGTCGTCATCCTCAGGCCATCCTCGCTCTCCATCGACATGGCCTTCTCGAAGAAAGGTAGCAGATCCTGAGAGTGTCGATTTCAGAACTCCGCAATGGGCGAAATGCAAACACAGGGTTCCTCCGCTGAAAGCGCCACCAAGGACGCCACCAGCGACGGCACCTTTCCCTCCTGGCAACTGCCGCATCGCCGCGGGATCGAGATCTGGATACCTCTCCATCCTCTCCTTCCTCTCCTTCCTCTCCTTCCTTCGAATCAGGGCATCATCCAGGAAGGAGACGTAAGAGCATCCTTTCCCGGCTGCCTGTCCAAGGAAACAGTCAGCTTAAGCTTCAGAAAATGAGAACACATCTGACTGTCTTGCAACATGTGCCTGCCCCGGACATTGGTCAGCAAGTGTAATTGAGCAGTGATTGTTTATTGAAGGTGTTGGAAACCAAGTTTCTCTCTGAACACCTCGGAACTCAACACCTTACTTACCATACAACACCGAGAATTACCGCAAGTCCGGGAAAGCATAGGAAAACGATAAACAACGAAGACATGGAAAGAACATCGAAAGAACATCCAGCCTCGCAGCTCCGCAAGCATCCGGCTAAGTCTTTGTTCTGCAAAATGTCCAACGGCACAGTGCAGTGCCCAAGGCCTGTCGCTTCAAACAGCGAATTACGCCATGCACAATGTGTGCTCTGAATGATTCAGGTTTCAAACAAATGGGAACAAGAATTCAGTAGGCTTCAGCACCATGTTCAGGATATCACTTAGCCCAGTGAGGAGTCTACAACCCAGATGGCGAAGCTACATGGGTGCAGTACTGGCAGTGGGATGTGTCTATGTAGAGTCTCGTCTATCCAGTTGACCCTCTTGAATAATCTTGAATCTTCAAAAAAAATGTCTTAAAAAAGAACGGCAAATAACGAAAACGCATGTGGCAGAGGTTTTCTGCTTCAAATCTTCAATATTATAAGCTTTTCCAAAATGATATAGAGTCGGTTCCAAATGAGTTGGCCGGAAACGTGCCTGCCAAGACCCATTGGGCAATGCCATGCGCGTTGTGCCACGATCCCAGGAGCAGGAGGAATACGCGGCGCTCCATGAATCTCGGCCGCCACTCTCCATGCTGCGAAGAGATTTGGAAATAAAGGGGTCAAGTAGATTCAAGTATATTATGAAATGGGGGAAGTTCTGCAACGGCTTCTTTGGCCGGCCTCTCTTCACTTGGGTAATAAGATTACTTGGTGGCTAATGATAGTCCCTTACAGAGGGAGTGAACATCCCAATCAAATAACCATCGGTGAGTTGAATGGCCCACTCACATGGAAACCCCGGGTCGGCTGGCTGTTGATAAGGAAGTTGAAAGGACTGCGCAAGGACAACGGCTCCACAGCATCAACAGCATCTGCTAAACCATGCCGATTCTCCGCAACAAGGGAATGGAAGGATAGAAAGGATCGGCTGTTTTACTTGCAAACTATCAACTCTCAACACACCAGGTGCTTTGCACTGGTGCTTGGAAAGGGACCCATCTCAGAAATGCTCCTGGCCATCCATGATTCCATATTGATTTTTTTTGCTTTCCGTTTGTGTCAATTCATTCTCTCAACTGTCAACTGCCATGTCACGTTACGTTTCGGTGCACGTTTCGGTGCACGTTTCGGTGTCCTTAAAGAAGGAGAAACGCGTTCGGCACCTCGCGTCGTGGCCGTTGCTCAGTTGCTTTGCAGATCGAGGCCCAACCGAGGCCCAACCGAGGCCCAACCGAGGCCCAACCGAGGCCCAACCGAGGCCCCCGAGGCTCCGGCTGCTGATCCGGAGGATCCGTGTGCTTGGCACCTGAAAAGTGTTGAAGAGTGTGGCAGGTGTGGCAGGTGGCTGTCCCATGTCCTACCAACCGACACAGATTCTCAAAATCATTCGAATACGTTTCAGATCTGCGTATGGCAGAATAAAGGTCAAGTTGGGATGTTCATGTTCATTTCATGTTCACAATGTTCACAATGTTCACCTGCTGTTTGCTCCAGGATGTGACATTTCCACATGTGGCCATACGAGAACTCAAGCTACACAGGCTGCATGCGTGCAAGTTCTGAGGCGGTGTGATATGATTATATGTACAAGCTATATAGTAGATCTTTATATAATATACATAGATGTGCATGATATGCATACGTAAGATTACGTAAGTTAAGTTGTATGTCAATCTCCAATGATCTATATGTGCTCATATCGGTATCGTATTTCAAGGATAGAGTGTGAGAACAGTGTGATACGTCCACCACGTCCACCACGTCCACCACGTCCACCAGATTCCAGCGGTTTTCCTGGCGCTTTTCCTGGGTGTTCCCACTTTGTCTGGCCAACTCTTGGCCAATGATGGGCGAGCCGCAGAGGAAGACACCAATGTGATCTCCCACGTGCTGAGCCTGGCACACCGTCATGCAGAACATGCAAAACATGCAAAAGGCATTGTCAACGCCGTTGTTTTCACTACCGAACCTGGACAAAATGGAAAATGATGGTAAATGTATGCAACATGTGGAGTATTCCAGAAAACAAATGGAAGAGCTTTTACCCAGCAATCATGAGATATCATGAGTAGAATTGCGTGCAATATGGTGCAATCCACAATCATGAACTTCAACCAAGAAACAAAACTCTGGCCCTATACCTTGTCGATTCCGTCTTGAACATGCCAGGAATGAAATCCACCCGATTCCGTCGATTTCACCTTGCAACCCTTAAAGATGCGGTTCCAGTTTGGTCGGCCGAAGTATTGATGGTGAACACCTCAGAATTCATCTGCTTTTTTTGCAGTGCCAATGGCAATCGTTTGCAAAATTCATGGAAGTTGTCGCAAGCACTTTGCAGAATTTTGGCAGCAACAACTGCTTTCTGATTCTAGCATATTCATCATATTCTAGCACTGTTCCAAGAAAAAGCATGAAAAAACGCATCGAAGAAGATCAGTTTTGGCGGTCCAAGCACATTGGTTTGATGGATCCGATGGATCCGATGGATCTCGATCTGAGGACGTCACACTTCAGCTGTTTCACTGCACTCAGTTCGACCTGCGACGCTGCGACGTGGCGACCCAGCGGCGGAAGCGGCGGAAGCGGCGGAAGCGGCGGATGTCATGTGGCCCGCCGGCCTCGCCGGTGGTGAAGAGGTTCACTTCTACCAATTCCTAGCCGAGTTTCCGCCGGGCAACATCTCCAACTCCATCGCTGGTTTTTCGATGTTTGAGAAATTTTGACAAATTTTGACAAGCTGATGATCAGCTGAGAAGAAAAACATGCCTTCCAAATCAGCCTTCGGATTGGACCAGGCCTTCGCTGGGCCTTCCACAGCTGTCGCAAGCAGGTCGTAGAACCAATCCAACTCCTCTCGGGGATGCTAAATGGCTAAATGGTAAAGGGTCAGATGATCAACAAGATGATCAACAAGATGATCAACAAGATGATCAACTAGGACGAACATGTCACAAAGAATTCTCAGATCATGGTAAACTCAATAAACTCAATAAACTCGATTGTCCATTGGATGAGGTCTACTCAGTGACTCAGAGATGCCTCACTTCGAAAGCGCACTGTCCCGTTTCCGGCTCCTGCTGGTTGCGCACAATCCAATAGAAGTGGATGCGCTCCTGACGTCGAATCACGATGTGACACATGGTTTCCAGTCACATCTGTGTCTCACCACCGATAATTTGGTGGAGAAGTTCGGCACGAAACCAATGGACCAACTCAAGCGCTCCGGCACAGGAATCACCTGCCATGTGACATCTGAATAGAACAAACAAGAACAAACGAAAATCCATTGGAATGTGGGAGGAACAATTGAGGAACATGGAAAACTATGGAAAACTCTTGGTCTTCGTCTCGTGTCACCTTGCTTGAAGTTAGAAAATGAAACATTACACAGCTATCACGGCCATCACAGCCATCACAGCAATCACAGTCATCACGGCTATGGTATGGCGCACTTCGTTCACGAGCCGCTCCACCATGGCTTGGTCCTTCGTTCAGAGATTTGCGCCAAGAAAATGGGTCGAGATACGTCGAGATACGTGGAGATACGTGGAGATACGTGGAGATGTCGAGATGCGTCGAGTCCCAAGGTCCCGGCATCCACTTGGCTGGCAGCCTGGTGGTGACACCAAGAGATGGTCTTGACAAGTGGATATCCAAGAGATGTTTTGACCATTTTTGACAAACTGCGAGCTGAAACATCTTGCCACATCTTGCGAAATCATTGAGAAATCATTGAGACATCATTGAGAAAATTGGAGACTCGGCATGCCACTCTTTCTTCCCACTTTGCCTTGTCAGCTCGCGGTGGCTTGGAAGAAGCCTTCCATTTCAGTTGTGGCATGTTGCAGCGACCATGTGACAGCCAACGTGTGACAGACAGGTGTCCTGCAACAGGAACCACTCTCTGAAACAATCACAATAGCTGACAACTGCCGAAGTCTCTTGGGGCATCAAAGACCACATCAACTGTATTGACTATGGGCGAAAAATGATTATCAAAATGCTAAGAAATATTGATCGAGCCCTTGGATTTTGTCTCACCAACTTGTTGGCAGTTTGGGGACGTTCGGGGCATTGGTCGGCCAGTTGAAACATGTTGAAACCAGATCACACAAGTTCACATGCCAAGTCACGCGGGGCGGAGGTGAGAAGGCTGGCCTCGACCCATATCCCCTGAGCCCTCAAGATCCAGGTGGAATTCTTTTGGCCAAACCAAGGACATCTCCAGGCATTTGCTTTCTCAGTATTTGGGCATGGTCGAAATGGGGCCATTAAATATATTAATTACCAGAAAACTTGGATGTTTAATGCTTAAGACCAAAAAGATGAACTCCTCCGTCCTCCGTTCACCAGGAGGCGGATCAACTGGGCTCACTGACTCCTCCTTATGCACGTCGTCCATTTTCGCACCCAAGACCTGACGTTCTGCAATGCACCGTGGGCTTCTGAATTTCTCCATCCAAGATAGACAAAAGACAAAAGACGGTAAAAGTTTAGCACGCCGCACGCCCACAAAGCTTTTGACAACGGAACTGTTCATCGAAGAGACCACTGTTTCCCTGAAACTTTGGAAAACACCACTGTTTCAGAGTCCAATTTCCGAGCTGCAAACGCTGGGGCTGATTTCTGCTAGACCAACGATGCCACCTGGCAGACATTTCCGGCCGTAGATTCACCGGTGGCAATTCTCTGTAACCAGTCAAGGCTACCGGCTACAACACCGTCACTGGAACATAGTTGGCCAGGTCGGCCAGGTGGCCATCTATTTGGCCCGACAAAGATAACCAAAAGGTATCCAAATCGTATCCAATTGGTATCCTCCAAACCAAGACTCGCATTGCACCTGCAGGATCACTCTTGGGCGCCTGATACAAACACCACTGCAATTGCTGGAAGGTCAGCACCAAACAATTCTTCGGAAACTCTTGTAGCAGAATGTAGCAAACACTGCATGGTTTGTCATCATGTTCCGCATTAAAAGTGCTTCTGGGGTATGGTATACGTTGTGGGGCAAATTGGAGAGCAGCTCGCTTTTTGTGCCTTGGACTTCTCAGGTGGTGCTTTCTTCTTCTTCACCTTCTCCGCCTTTTCGTCCGGCTTCTCAAGAGTCCTCATGCGATGAAGGACTCAGAACTCACCAAGGATGTCGCATCACGTCGATCATCACTTGATATCAGGTCATATCAGGTCATGTCCCCCAATGTTTGCTGTACAATACACCATATACATATTACACACACACCCTGATCTTTTTAATTCTTACAGCATCTTGCAGCATTCAGCTACCTTTGGAATTTCAACTGGGCTCTGTTTGGTGTTGTGATTGATGTATGTGATGATTTGTGATGATTTGTGATGTATTGTGAGGTGTTGGATGTGACAGGTCCCCCAACTCCGCAGCATCCACTCTGGGAGCTCGCTCTGATGCCACAGCCTTGGAAAGATGCCGAATGGAAGCCGAGACACGCGGAAACACGCATGGCCCAAAATCGTAACACGAGATTGCTAGTCTGCTGGATTTGCTTATCCTTGGGAGATGTTTGAAGCAGGTTTCTGGTCAAGAACTGTGAAGGCTCCATGCAACTCGCATCCTGAGAACTCGGAAAGACTCGGAAAGACTCGGAAAGACTCGGAAAACCAACGCCTTGTCGTTTTCGTTGGGAGTTGTTATGAGTTGTTATGAGTTGTTCGTTGTCATCCGAGGAACGGCGTCATCCATCGCCACCTCGGCCGAGGCCGCCGCCGCCGTCGCAGCTTCCGCCGGCTCGGGCGCCGCTGCGTTGGTGTCGGGCGCCGCTTCCGGAGGAGCCATGCTGTGCTTGGTCTCGGGCCTCGACGGCATGTGACACTGGCAGAGTCATATTGTGACAATGCCATGACACTGCCATGACAGAAACCCTCCTGGTGCGCCGCTTGGGTGTCTTGGCTTCCACATCTCCTCACAGGAATCCAGTCAACAAAAGGACACAGGATATAATCTGAATATTATATACTGATTTTCCATGAAAATCGTTGGAGTCAACTCTCAAACATCCTACACACATTCCAACACACATTCAAGGTGTTTCAAGCTGTTTCAAGCGACTTTCCCAACTTGCCAAGCCCGGTTTCACACCTCCAGATGATCCAGATACCCGGAGAAGATGTTGCTGCTGCTTGCGAATCTGGACCGATCTCAGGATCGACACGAAGGGCGTGACCTCAAACGAACAAGTCTTGAGGCACAAAATGATCTTTGTCAACAAAAGAAAGAAATAGAGGAAATCACCACATGAGCAGAAAAGTGTCGCTAGTGCCACGTGCTGCCAAGGCACACCGATGCCAGCTCCCACGACCATCACCGTTTTGAACTCCCAGACTCTCTGCGCAGGCGCCCCGAAAGGCCCTTGGAGCCTTGCCAAGTCAGCGCCAATTTTGATGCGATGATGCGGCAATGATCTACAAAAATTCCTCGATGTTTCAATCTCCATGCTCTGTAGATCAAGGCTTGGTGGAGATTTAAGTGGTAAATGTCCACTGCTGGTGATCAAGAGTTGCTGTTGCCCGAGGCCTCAAAGGGGATGTTTGCAGGCAAATATTGCAAGTTTGTTTAAGCACAAACTCTTTGGAGCTCACAAGTTTGTTGTCATGACACCACCAACCTTGCACAGCTACTGCCAACTCAGCGAGCACACACTTGGATGCCCGGCTGCAGTTCCACGGTCCCAGGCGGAAGGTTCTTAGACCACAGCAACTGCAGAATACTGCAGAGTGCTTCTGTCGATCTCGCACTGCTCACATTGCATTTCGGAGCCCAATGTCAAAAATATCATAAATTCCATGTCTGTTTTCAGACCAAGAATGGTTTTGTTTCTAAAAAAAACTATATAAACTAGATAAATTACTATATAAACGACTCCAACGACTCCAACGACTCGTGACGACAGTTTGGCCCTTTGGCCCTTTGGCCCTTGATTTCCCGAGGTCCTCACCGCCCGCTCCATGAGGGCCACAGAGTCTTCGGTCCTGGTACTCTCACGATGGAAAGTGGAGGTGGCCTGACCGATGTCGAGAGAAAACTGCCGTGGCAGTGCATGGCGGCTGTTTCTATGAAATGCTTGCATCTTCTCTATCAGATGTTACTGCTTGTACATACTATGTCTTGATTTTTGTCGGAATCACAACATCTCACATTAAGAATCATGATACATTATTCTACACGAAGAGCCGCTATCACTTTTCAGAGCTCATCCTGAACCCAAGAACAAACTGAAAAAAAGATTGGACAAGTGTAACAAAATGGAAGAGCCTCGGAAATTGCTTCAAAAAGTCTACTGATATAATGTGTCTGTAGAAATTCTTGAAGACTGAAATTATATAATCTGGAAATCTCATGAAATCTCAAACATTAACGCATCGACAGTGAATCAAGGCACTCCACAGGCCTGCCGCTGTGATCGGTCGAAGGAAACGTCCAAGGAAACTTTGTCAGAAGAGCCAGTGCCCTCAGCCGGGAAATTTTGCCACAAATGTGTCTAACCCAAAATTGATTAGGAAAAGGATAAGTGATACATAATGAATTTGAATAAATGATACCAAATGTCCTACAAAACGCCTCAGCCAAATGCTTGACCTTGCAGACGTGCCTCGCTCTCACTGCCATGTTAAGGGACTCTTCAAGACATGTTGCAGACTTGAATCTCATAGGTGATCTCGTACGCAAACAACGGCCATCTATTCATGGCCTTATGTCTCTGAGTATCCCTGTATGGTTGTTCATCATCTCATTTGACCCCACAATGTCACAAAGTGAACATGTGGTGTGACAACTTGATATTCTACCATCCTATACCCTACAACTCATATCATGTTATACTACAAAGTTCACATGTGTGGAATATCGTAGCATTGTTATACCAGATCCGCCAATGTCAGCCAAAAGGTTTAATAGGTTTAATGTATACATCATTATACATCCCATTATAGATCATTAAACCATTATACATCCCAGTATGGATAATATAGATATGGATCCATCCCATTATACATCCCATTATACATCCCATTAATATCCATATATCCCTACTGAAAAAAAAACACATCAGTCGCCATGACGTCTTCCAGCACCCTGTGCCGTGCTCGCCTTGAAGGAGCTCTCCGTCAAGGGCAGGGCTTTGCAGCAGACTTTGCCGCTGGGCATCACGATCTTCTCCTCAGGGAAAATGGGAAAAAATGGGAAAAAATGAAGCAATCTGCGCTTGAAAGAGTGCGAAGAAAATCAATGGGCACTAAAAATATATATCTTAAAACGTTACGTACGTACGTACGTACATTTGTGAGTGTGTATGACCGATATGAATGATATTCATAGGCTTAGGCGCGGTATCTGCATGCGAATTGGTCATGTCCGGGCAGACCAGGGTACCCGACGAACTGAACCGTGGTCCCTGGACTTGGCTCCTTGGCAACCTCCATGGATCAAAATTCATCACATGTTTCAAATAGAGAAATGCCATGAAAATGCCACGATCGTCGATCGTCAAATATCAATGATACTGATTTTCTTCCACAAAATACTGCGCCAGTGCCTCGATGGCTGTGACGCCTTGGGCTGCTTTTGGGGCCTGAAACTGTCAATTCACAAGAGATTTCACGAGTTTAAAGATGTTCCAAGTTCAGAATCTTGAATCACTTTCTCAAAGTCTGGGCAAATCCCCTGATTGAAACAATGCTATGACCGCTACGAGTAGGTCAACACCATCAAGTCATATCTGGACATCTGTCCACAGGACATGAATCCACAACAAGTGGGTTCTACATTTTGCTTCACACGTTCTATCCATTTCTAGCCGTTTCTTCATGTTTCTTCCCTAGGGCCATGTCTTGGGCACAGTTTGATTGTGTTGGTTGCAGCCTCCACCATCAAGTGGCGTCGCAGAGCGGAACACCAATCCAGCGTTGAGCTGGCGCGGATGTGCAGGGTCAACTGCCGTTCCTGGCTCCCGAGTTGATCTTCCAGGATTTTCCATCCGTTTTCACCTGAAACTTTCTGTGAGAAAGAACCTTTGTTGGTCCTTAAATGCAACCTGCAATATCTTTGAACCACCGCGTCCCTGCTCGCAAGCTGATCTGCCGTTCCTCTGGAGCAGAAGTCAAAGTGAAGGGATGCCTCAAAAACAAAAACGAATTCCTCCCCGACCGCCACATATGAATGTGGCAAAATATGTTGTGCCCGTTGGGCAACCAATGTGTCTGTTACTGTTAGTGATTAGCGTTATAATAAAAAGTAGATTAATGTGCCCAAAGGGCAACAATTAGTGAAAATATTGATTGCCATAATGCTAATGAGCGGCTTCATTGTGTTTCAACATTCAACCACCATACAACTTGTTGATGTCGATAACAACTTGAGACGAAATTGAGAAACAGAGTATTGAAACCCTGAACGCAAACGATGTTAAACTCCTCACTTCGCAGCCAGCAGTTCCTCATGACTAACAGTCTGAGGTATCACCTGGGGGATCACCACTTGTCACATGATTGTGACTCTTCTTGGTGTTCTGGCCATTCGCCCTTCCAGTGCAGCATCACGTACTGCCCGGCCTACAGGATGTACAGGATGTTGGCATCTCTTAAAAAACACTCACAACTTGCACCATCTCAACTGCCGTCTACTTGCGCGGTACTTGCGCGTCACTCTGTATCTGCCTGATATGTGAAGTTTTCAGGGATCTCGAAGGTCAGGTGAATCACGTCAAAGAGAAGGAGTCGTGCCTCGAACTGCTCACAGGGTGTGAGATGTGACGTGGAGGCAACGCTAGGGCTCTCACACTTTCCAGAACGGCTGGATATCGCTGTCGCTGGGTTAAAAGCACCCTGGTGCACGGCGGTAGCCATGGCGGCCGCAGCGGGTCCAAACTCTGCAACATATATATATATATACAGACACACAACAGAATCGGAACTGAGTTCTCAAAGATATCGATCTCTCAGGCTCCGGAGGCTCCGGAGGCTCCGGAGGCTCTGGCCGATCGACTGCCACGAAGATCGCGGGGAAAAACATCCAGATCCAGAACCTGTGAAGACTGTGAAGAGGTCAGGAAGAGGTCAGGAAGAGGTCAGGAAATGTGAAATGTTCATGAAATCGATGCTGAAAGGTGTGAAGATGAAGTCGATGAAATCGATGCTGGAAAAACTGGGCAAATGCCTGAAATGCATGCACCAGTGTCTATGAATTTGAAATCTGAGCAAATTGTCTTACCGCAACTTCTTGCGCTCTTGAGAGGACATCCAATCACAGAACAAGCACTTGGGTTCCACACCGTGGTGTAGTATGAATCAACAGCAGGAAGTACACAACTGGCCAAACAGAGTGCGCCTAAGCCCCAGCAGCCAGAGTCTTGGCCCATGCTGCCCATGCTGTCATGTCATGTCGGTTCGGAGATGTTGGTGCTGGAGCCCTTTGAGTCTCCACTTTCTCCAAATGTCCACTTTGCTCGATGTCGCCCCATGTGGCTTGGTGCAGAAGTAGGGTACCCCTAAATCAACCCCTTAACATCACCTTCCCAAAAATCAATTTTGGGGGGAATACCCATGACTCGCCCATGCTGCTTCATGTTGAATCGGACTTCATCATACTTCATCTCTATAGCTCTACCGCTCTACCCGGACTCTGCCTTCATCTTCACCTTCGTCGAGACCCTTCCTTGACCCTTCCGTGTCTCTGGGCAGCTCACTTGTTGGAAGAGTCGAAAGCCACCGCAACGTCGCGCAAGGCACTGAGCGAATTGTGGTCAAGTCGCCAGCTTGCAGCTAATGTCATGTTTCAAGGCCCTCCTTTGTTCAAGTTGTTTCTGCGTTTTCTATCAAGAACGATAGTTACAAGTCACCAAGACTGGTCAAATCAACCACATTCAACAACGCTAACGTCCCCTTGGGAAAACCCATCGGCAGGGAATTAGGCACACGGCGCAGGTGGCTCGTCGCACTGAAGGTAGTGCTGTAACCTGGTCTTTGTGAAGGATGAAAGTCCAGTGCGCTTTCGCTTTGTTAGCAGACGCTATGTTGGAAACCAATAAGCTCAACAACAGGATTGTAGCTTGGAAGGGAATGCGATCCTCCAAAACAAAGACTGCACTGGTCGAGACATGACTTTCACGGTCCAAAATGCTTGTTTGCCTCAAAAACTGTTCAGCATGCTGCAGTCAAGAAACGTAGATGACACACATCAACGCTGTGATCAGCAAACCTTGCGCGTGGCACATGTGTGAAAGCTCTCGATCCCTCCGGATTGGTATCAAAGGTTTCAAGCTGAAGGCTGCACGGCCAAACTCACACAACCTGCAACGTGCCTAGACTGCAAAATACTGCAACATTGGACTGTACTTTGGAAGATGTTGGACGGTACTACAATCGTGACTCTGCATGTTTTCATTCAACCTTTGGCTCGGGTGCTCTTTATGGGCGGATCCCTTAGCCAAATTGTGAGAGCAGTAGCTCAGTAGCTGTACAAACGACCCAGCAGCTGTCGCATGCTGCCGCTGTCATCTCAGTCAGAGTGATCTTGTGTCATTGCCACAAAATTCAGCTGAAGTTCAAAGTTCAAACACAAGTTCCGCCAGAGTTCAACCTCTTGAAATGTCCGTTTGGCTCATGTGGCACAAGCTGGGTAATCGGTTGAACACGACAGGGACAAACACACCTAGGTAGGCAGCAAAAATGTTCGAAACATGACAAAAACTGTGGGAGAAAATTGTGGTACAATTCCAATCCATTATACAGAATTAAAAGGATATCACTGACATCAGATCTTTTTCAATTTTTTTCAGTTCCATCTCATTTAACTATCTGAGTTCTGTCGCCGTGGCACCGAAATGTTTGGAGCACAACAAACTCCCCAGGGCAAGCACCTCAGCTGCGGAGATTCCGAAAACCATGAAAAACCACTGGAAACCGGTGCTTTGAAGAATGAAAAACCATGAAAAACCATGAAAAACCATGAAAAACCCAATCCTTGTGACATCCATGTGACATCTGCGGCCAAAGTGCGCGTCTATTCTCTTGGTCGCAATGCATGTGGCCCCGGGGCTACACCTGAGCTGTGAGGCGCCAGATCTTCGTGGCAGGAAAATGGAGAAACAAGGCAGATGCAGCATAAATATCGCAGCATAAGTATTGCATAAGTATCGCATAAATGTGACATAACCTATCCGTATCCACCCTTTTGGTAAATTTGGCCGTGCGAGTTCTGTCGATCCTTCCAGGTATGCCGCTCCAGTTCTCGTGTCTGTTGCACTCTGCCAAGGTCCATGCCTGGTAATCACTGGCGCACAGCACCTTGGAGCTTTTCGACACCTCAAACCCCTAAAAAGAACTGAAGAAATGCCTTACGCAAGTGTCCGGAAGTCAAGTCTTGTGTCGCCCGATCTTGGCAGAGCCATCAAGTGGACCTTGATTCCCACAGCCACCTTCTGAACACCCTGATTTGTCCGAGTTGCTCTGTGCCATGGCCCCTGGACACACAATGGCACAAAACGGCACAGCCACATAGCACAGCGACACATGTCAATATTACAGCTCGCTACAATGCGGCAACAAGACCCGTCCTGCAAAGTGTAACAGCCCAAAGGATGAACCCAACCATGCACCCTCCAAGTCTCTCTGATTCCTCTCATTTACCAGCAAATCACACCACATTTCTGTGTCCATCTTCATTCCTTCATCCCCGGTGAAATACCGTTGCTCAGTTGCATAAACCAAGTTGCTTTCAACTTAACCCATCCAATCCCCATCTCCCCATCTCCAATCCCTATCCAACTCATATCCAAGCCATGTCTTTACCCAGGACCCAGCTCCAAGCCATCTCCGATATCTCCGACATCTCGCGTCCCGGCGTCCCGGCGTCCCGGCGTCCCGGCGCACCCGCAGTTGGCGATGGTCTCGGAGGCATAGCAGCGGTCGCCCCCCGAGCAGCGCGCCACGTTGGCGCTGAGCCCAGTGGAATTCCGCGTCACGTTGCAGGGGAAACCGTGGAAACCGCCTGGGACATGGCGACGCGGCTTGGATGCGGCTTGGACGTGGGAAATGGCGAAATGGGAAACATATTGAAACCAGGGTCAGTCGCTGCCGCTATCCCTATCTGCGCTATCTGTCTCCCACTCGAGTCCACTCCTTTGCTCGGTCCTCTGCATGCGTTCACATAGCAACTTGTCGCAGTCGCACATAACCAAAACAGCTCAAAGGGTTGACAACTTGTTGTATCTGACCTGCATCTCGGGTCCTTAGACATCCTTAGACATCCTTAGACATCCTTAGACATCCTTAGACATCCTTAGACATCCTTAGACATCCTTAGACATCCTTAGACATCCTCACACCCATCCTAGCCATTTCCAGCGCCCACAACATGCCACAACATGCCACAACATGCCACAACATGCCACATCCGTTTGCACTGCCATGGGGCCATCTGCAGGTTCCGGAGGTGACGGGCTCACAGCTTTCACTCCTAGCACCACCGCTAGCACCGGCCATAGCACGCGCAGACTCAGGCCCATCATCCAAAATGGGTGGTCGAAACGCAGCAAAAGTGGCATGAAGTATCTCGAACGATGCAAAATTCGTTCGTTCCTTTGGGTGCTGATATGTGTGCTTCAAAAGCATGCAGTCTCTCAGCAATTGTTTGTGGCTGCATTTCTTTTGAATTGTAGCATGTTGGTTGGCAGTCTTCACCCTTGAAGCTCAAGCGTTACAGTGCAAGTGATAGTTTTGCAGCGAATGGTACAGATTTTACGGGGCTTGAAAAATGCGTAAGAGAAAACATCAGAAGCACAGGCTCTGAAAACTGTCATGTTTCCGGAAGCGACAGTTCCAGAGCCTGTGAAGTTGGCTCGTGTCAGGAGCAAATTTTCCTCAGGTCCAGGGAACTCCACAGGGCCGTCCATCCGAGGTAAGCTGAGCTCTGAACGACGGGCGTTCCGGAAATCTCTTCCTTCGGCAGGACAGGACAGGACAGGACAGGACAGATTGCAAAGTTTCCAGCTTCGTCTCCAAATCTCACGCCTCTGGAGTGAGGGCCCAAGCACTAAGGGGATCGTTCCTGGTTCTCGAAAGCTGAGATAGTGGAGATATGTGGAGATGGTGTCCAGATGGTGTCCAGATGGTGTCCAGATGGTCTCCAGCACGTCCAGATTTCAATGCAGCTCTGAGATCCGAGCTGGAAATTTGGCGACCCTGCGATCTGGGCCATGTGAACGAAATGGGAACAAACCTGAGCTGGTGCAGGTGCAGATGGTACGGATGGTTCATTTGTTGCCATGACATGACATGCTTTACCCTGTGTCCATCCGATTCCATCTCTCAATGGACTTCGAAGCACTTTTGATCTTTTGCGTCGGATACCTCCAGACACAGACCGGGCTTCCAACATGCACGAAGCTATTCACTGCCACCAAAGTGGCCACGGCAATGTGGAAAGAAATGGGATCGTCCAGTGGAATCCACCTGAGATGCACGCGGACGTGTCGGAAGACCAGTCGCTTGGGATGAAACGATCCTAGCAACATAGACGGCCACCCGGTAGCAATTTTCACAAGTTGAATTGGCAAATTAGAAAATTGCAATTGACAAATATTGACAAGAGATGACAAGAGATGACAAGAGATGACAGGAGATGACAAGAGATGACAAGAGATGACAAGAGATGACAACAGTATCGTTCTTAGCCTTGGTCCTTGCAACATCTTCCTGAGCGCCCTGCTCTCTTGCCTGACCGCCCTTGCCACGCAGGACCTCAAAGTTGTGAAGGAAAAGGATGGAAAAGGTGGGAGTTGATGATGCGCTGACAAAACAGGCCCGTTGAAAAATAAGTAGCTGAGAACTGTCCGTATGAACACAGAAAACACTCTGACTTAGCTTGGGGTAGGTCGGGATTGGCACTGAGATGCACTGAGACTCTTGCAGTTTGTAAACTCTTCAAGGTCGGCAGCAGCAGGATGGCCAAATCCATGTCCAGCCTGGAGCTCCGTTACGTTTCCCAGTGCTCCCATCGGTTTCCAGCTGCTCCCAGCCAACTGTGCCGGGCAGGCGCAAAGCCAGCCCCCTTGGCCATGGGATATGCCACAGATGCCTGGAAGCCCAGTCCTGGCGGAGCAGATCAAAAAAGATCATGTCACACGTCGGAAGGCGAAGCTGTCAGGTTCTGTAGATCGACACTGTTCGAACTGGTATGAAAAAATCCAGACCGGTTGAAGTGTTTTGAGCGTCATCTCAAGCTTGGACTAAAGTTCTGTGAGGTTGTTCCAGGCGAAACAAAATTTATGTCGACGTTGGTATAAGTTTGACCCATACTGTTCCGCTTGTCTAAATTTGAGATGATCCAAACATCGTAAGAGGGCAGTGTTGAAGTTTAAGTCTTTCGCTTCACACACGTACACCAATTCTGTATGAAGTTGTGCTTGTGTCACATGATTGCTGTCACAGTTTTGTCTTGCTATCGACGCATTCAATGAGGGTAATGACAAGTTTGAAGTACCCAAATGGATGTCGAATTTGGATATCCCACCCCATATTTCATCATGATCATCATTTCCCCAAATAAAATTGCAATTTCGCGATATACAAAACTGTAGCCACTGTAGCTGAACCAGCTGCACGTAGCTGCACCGCTCCTGTATGCAAGAAAAACCCAGCCAGGAAGGAGGCCAAGTTGAGCAGCAAAAGGATCAGCTTCACCACGCGCTGTCCTCACGGTTTCGCACATTGCCATGTCGGAACCAACTTGCAACGTCTCGGAATCGTCTCGGAATCGTCTCGGAATCGTCTCGGAATCGTCTCGGAATCGTCTCGGGTTCGTCTCGGAATCGTCTCGGAATCGTCTCGGAATCGTCTCGGAATCGTCTCGGAATCGTCTCGGAATCTCCTGGTTTTGCCATGTTTTACCATGTTTTACCGTAACTTTTGTTCAGTTTCAATCCAACAGTTTACCAAAAGTTCATGGGTAAACCTGACCTGTTCGAATTGTTCTCCCAGGCTCGTTGGCTCCTTCTCCCAGGCCAATGTTCACGAGGCAGTTGATGAACTTGGACCTCTTGGATGCCCTGGCACCGCTACAGACGCCCTCATGGCTATAATGTTTCAATGGAAAACGATCAAAAAAATATGGAACAAAAATCACGAGAAATGATTACGAATGATGAACCATGACCATGATGAAAAAATATGAAGAAGGATGTATTTTGCTGGAGAACTTGGATGATTTTGGGAGGTCCCCAGTCTTTCGACTTCATCCAATTGGCTGGGAAAATCAGAGCATCTAGCAATGAACTTCAGAAGATCTGTGACTGCAAAATTGTTGATCTACTAGAAGTCAAGGCGATTCTATGTGTGGCTCCACCATTTCCGCACTGTAACAAATTCATATTGGATTTTATTGATGGATTTTGATGCGATTCTTTTCCGGAGAAAACAATCGTCAGGTGTCAGGTATTGATTTGAGCCACTGCAACCGCCCAGCCTGGGAGGTTCCGCCATGGCATCCTTGTCCTCAGCTTCGGCCTCGTCCTTCCCCTTCTCACCTCCCACGTGAGGCACGCCTCTTGAAATTCCAAGAAAATGCCTAGAAATCTGTAGAAACCTGTAGAAATCTAGGAATCTTCGCAAACGGTCTCTGTTTCCTGGACACAAGACTTTTCAAACACATCAACAGCAGCTATAGCAGCAGCTAGCAGGAAAAACATGGTAAAAACAACAGAGTCCTCCCTGCCTGGGTTGGCTGGGTTGGCTGAGTTGGCTGGGTTGGCATTGAAGGCCCTCCACTTCTCCCTCTCTTCGCGCTTCCATGCCTAGCCGTGGTCCCCGAACACCACAGACCAGTTCCGTCCCCGTTCCGTCCCCATTCCGCCCACAGACCTTGCGTGCATTGATGGCTGCATTCAAACGCTGCTGGCCAACCAGGTAGCCTTGGTGAAGTTTGGGACAGAACAGCAGAACCTGGATTTGAGATGATTTGAGTGCCAGTTTCAGTGTCGGATCTCTGGATTTGAGGTCCAAACGTAAAATGCAGAAACGCGGCCGATGCCTAGACTAAAGCTTTGCATCAGGTTTGATAGGTCCAACGATGTCCAACGTGTTCATCATGTCAGCCAAGGCCTCTTTGAAAACAGCCAGGAGGAAGGATTGCGATAGGCGTACACCTCAGTATCCAAACCCTCATCCAACTCCCCTATCTTGACTCCTCCATCTTCTATCGCAGGTCCATTCTCGACTGGATCTTTAAAAATATATCCCTGTCAATACACCTGTCACAACACATATTGCAGTTACACCTGTTTTGGCATCTAAATCAAAGATTATCCCATTACGATACAGTATGTATATGTAATATATATATATATATATACTTAGTTGCACTTATCATAGTTAAATAGTTTGTATTCACCATATCCCTGTGTCATGCTGGATTGCAACTAGACCGGTAATCTAAATAAACCCCAATCATTAAACTACCAATCCCTTGTGCAATTCAATTCCTTCTTTCTCCAAGCCAAGCCCCAGCAGCAGCAGCAGCAGCAGCAGCTGCTGCAGCAGCAGCTCTTGCCACTGCCACCAACCAGGCAAGGCCTGGGCACTGGCAGGGATCATGACACTGGTTAGTGTTCATAAGCTTGGGTCTTGCGCATTGACCAAACATTAGCCTTTTTAGTTCCACTGCATGGCACGCCCAATGCTTTTGATGACCTGTGTCACCAACGGAACTGGCCAAGCATTGCCAGCAGCTCCCATGATTTTCTGAGGGCTGATGCTCATCTCACTGGCTAAGTCAGCGATATCCCCAGGAATCCCTTGAAGTCGCAAGCATTCTTGATGCACAAGGTTTAAGATATGAAAATAAAACCAGCGTTGGGGCAAATAGTTGATGTTGAAATAGTATTTTGCCGATATAATTGAAGTCAAATAAAAATAATGAAGGCTGCAAGAGTCCTTTGGCAGCAGCCGGCGATTGAGTTTCGTGACCCAAAAACCACCAGAAGATGCCCGTGTTTTGGTCAAAGTGGGCGTCACCAATCGTTTCGGCTTGTTCTGAAACTTCTTTGAGGCCCCAACGTCAATCAACCTGAGGGAATGCTAGTTGAGGTGTCGAAAACTAGGTTTGAAACAATCAACATTTTTCACATTGTCATTGATGAGAGAGGGTCACCACCTGGAGTTCGAACCAGTTTCAAACCAAGACACCAAATCTCCGAAGCTGGGTCACCACCTAGATTTCGAACCAGTTTCAAACCACGTCGCAACATCCGTTTGGAATGTGGGCTCAATGGTCCTTGGTGAAAAATGACCAATCCACACATTGAAATTGTGATTTTCTACTTGTTGCCCTTGCCCCCAAAAAAAACAATCAGTGGGTTTATTCATATTTACAAATTTATTGGTGCCCAAGATTCTTCCACCCCCTTTGGTCGGAAGCAACACTGATTGGAACGGCACCTGCTTTCCCATGGGAGTAGGCCATTGGAATCTGTTTCTAATCTTCTTTTTCCGGAGCGCAACTACAAATAGTCTCTTGCGAGACTGGGGAACCCCGTAGCAACTGGCATCCAGAACCTGGGCATAGATCTTGTAGAATTGGTCTCCATCAGCATGTTCTTTGACACTTTTCAGCCTGCAGCGAAAATGCATTGAAAACCAGGTTGGGAATAACACTCGGTATTATTAGTGTTGTTGACCCGTATCCTGATCCAGATGTGAACCGTTGTATTGGGGGCCTAGCTCAAAATCAAAACACTTACATTTGACCCAGATACATTTTAATCCACTTCATGAAGATCAACTTCCTCAGTTTTTTGTTCCGCAAGATACCGGGAACTTGTTCTAATAGAACTGCTGTTGGCTTCTTCCGCGTGATGTAATCAAAAGTTGCCCGGTAGCACTTTGCTCGAGGATCTGCCTCAAGCATAATAAAAGGTATATAAAAACTTCATCCATAGAAATGAATACTCAAGAATTAGGGGTGGTTAAATCGATACATAATCATACGTCATCCAGTCCAGATACTGATCCCCTTTTCTTCCCTGCCATGCTCACTGGTTGGCAAGGCAAGCCAGCGCCGTAGAGATCAACCCTTGGCATTTGAGAAACTTTGCGCTTCAAGGCATCCTCAGACGGGCAGCCGGTTGAGCCACCCCCCCTTCGCAACTTAGGGCCCGCAGTGTTACATCCAGATTTCAGATACCTATCCATGGGATTTTTGAACAGTAGACATGATTCAGCACTGGACTTCAATATGATTTGCCAAGAAGGGTGTTTATTAATATAAAACCACTCCCTGAAATCTATCAGCCCGTTGCATCTGGAATTTGATTTGTTGATGTGACCAAGAATCGTCAAAAACGATCTTTGGCCGATGGATGCATATACACATCTCTCGAAGTTGGGAATCCAACTCGCTCACAAATTCCAGCTCATAGTTCAAGCCAGCTCTCCTGAAGTATGGGTTACCCATACTTCCATCCAAGTTGAGAGATTCAGCAAGAGATACTTTAGCACTGTTGCCCCACAATTCAAATTATATACAATGCGCCCGTTTTGGGGTTTAAGCCAAGCATATGGTTTTGTCAAGTTGAACATAATGGTAGCCAAGGTTCGAGGTTGCCCAGCTAAGGCATTCCAGACCCGAAAAGTCTGAACCCAGTTTGATTGACATGATGATTGATCCAAGTAGCTTCAGGCATGAATGAATTTTCGTTGAGACCAGCGTTTGGCTGTCCATTGTACCGCCATTCTTTAGCATGACTAGGTCTATGTTGCCAGCACACCTGACCAATGCAAACCATTTTTCATCTCTGACGTTGAGACATGTGATGGTTCGCTGCAGAGTGGGATGGTGCATGTGGATGTTATCACCCGACACCTCTAAACCCACCAGTCCAAAACTCACTGAACCCGTATGGATTAGGCTCATGGCTTCCATTGTCCCGATGAGTGACCCTTGGGAATCAAAAATGAAGACCAATTGTTCAATCAATGTTCAATCATTGGAATCGAATGGTACTATTGATTTCTGACCTGTTGACTCTAATCCAAGATTGTTAGCTTTTCATCCCCTTCAACACTCCTAATCTTTCAGAAGCCGAGCTCGAAAGTCTGACATCAAAAGTGGCTACCCCAAAAGGGCTGCCCATCGACAGTGCCTATCAGGCTTGGTTCACTTGCCGCTACGCGCATTGCCTTTGGCCAACTTGCGCAGCTTCTGGGCTACGTCCTGGAACGGAGTTGTGATGACCCCTTTTTGAGGAATGTTATCCCCTGAAAAGTCGTAATTTGATGGGGGTGTGCTAGATTTATTTATCAAGTAAAAGGCGTTCCAAGTCTGACTGCTTTGTGCATTGTTGACTTGATTAAAATAACAATTTTGGGGTGGCCTAAACATGATTTCTCTCTCTTTTGGGGGGTCCACACAAAGGAAAACCACTGGCCGGGCATCTACAGAAAATAGGTAATTATCAACAAGATTTGTTTGTGAATCCTATCCCAAAGATGTATTTTTGTTTGAAGCTCCCACTCATGAGAAGAACGCCCAATGCCAAGAGGCCTTGACCTTCTCAGAAGTGTTCTTTCTTTTCTTTGGGACCGGCTTCTCCTCTTCCTCTTGCTCTTCCTCTTCGGATTCCTCATCTTGGTTTTCATCTTCGTCTTCCTCACATTCATCTTCGTCTGCAACCTCATCCTCAGGTTCTTCATGATCGTCCTCTTCGTCTTCCTCGACTTGCGCTGCCTTCTTGCTTCCTCTCTTGGGCTTTCCCTTTGCCGCAGCCTTTGCTTTGGACTTTGGCTTCTTTTTCTCTGCACTCTTGGCCTTGGGCTTTGCCTTAGCCTTTCCTTTAGCCAATGCCTTGGGCTTGGCCTTACCCTTCGCCGACGCTTTTGCCTTTGCACGAGGCTTCTTGCCTGCATCCACCACCTCTGCTTCAGCCTTCAGCCTTTCGACCTCATGCTCCTCAACATCAGAAGGGGCATCTGTCTCCTCACCATTGCTGTTGATCCACTCAGGCGTCTTGTTTCCACAGTCATCGTCACCATCTGCACCGGCTTCATCTTCATCAGCGTCGATCTCTGGATCTTCCTCTTCATTCTCTTCTTCTCCTTGCTCCTGATCATCAGCCTTTTGTGCCTTGTTCTTTCCTTTTGCTTTGCCTTTTGCCTTTGGCTTAGCCTTGGGCCGACTCAGGACAGTCAAAGAATGCCAAAGAGATTTCAACTTAACAACAGGATGCCGTCTGAATTGACTGAAACCCTATGCCAGTGTGAGCGCACTTGTAAGACTACTGAATCCAAGTGGCAGAGCTTCCCACCTTCTTTGCCTCTTTGATCAGTTTGGTGAGCTCATTAGAAAACAAAGCACTCTTGGGATTCTGCATTGCCTCAAAGGTCATAGCCTCCAACCTCTCCGTCAGAAGTTTGGCCTTAGATATACCAAGGCTCAGGTTAAAACCGATATTTGCTAAGACTAGAAGCCTTTGGAGCACAGAGACCATCCAAATGTCATAGCAACATTTTCACAGAACAATAGCCATAATTTGAATGAAGTTAATGGAACCATGGCACATGATGGTCAGTGAACACAAGGCCGATGTACGGCAGATTTCGTTGGATTGCCAGGAATGCCATGGAACCATCACCTGTTGCAGCAATTCTATTTCAAAGATGGGTGGGGTTTGGTTCTATGCTAGCAGTAGCAGCAACACTGAACAAGAGGGAAGTTACATAAACCTACCCTACTTCATGACATAGTGGCTTTGGGGTTTGAATTCAAAGTATGAAACCAAAAATCAACTTGATGTTCGGTGGAGGCCAGTGGGATTAAAATCGAAAGAATGCATGGGGTCATATGAGATTGCATGCCTGGGGTCATATCGTTGATGGCACCCACTGAGTAGCAGTGGATGATCTCCTCATCCAAGGCTGGTGGGCCCGCATGGTAGAATGCTGGCTCCAGAGCACCTTCAGCACGGCGTCCGGGAGAACTGGCAGGCATGTTTGTGAGACTATTTTTGATCAAAATCATCATCACAATCAACATCATCACAATCATCAACAACATCATCATCTTCATCATCATCACCACCATCACCATCAATATCAGCATCATCAAAGTCATAATCATGATCACTTGGTTGATTGACGTTTAGCCAAGCTTTGTTTATTAATATTCTTGTTTAAATATAAAGGGAGTACAAAGTTACATATAAGGTGGGGATAACAGCAGAAAACCTCGGAATTTGAACGTGAGAAACCATCTCCTGACTCAGCTTCGCTACCCTCTGGGGCCTGCCCTCCGACAGAAACACGGTGTTTCCCAAACAACTGCTTCTTCTGCCCAAACGTGAGCTGCCATGTAGTGTCACTATCATAGGATGGCAACTTCACTCCATAGCTGGTGTCACCACGGTTGGTCCCGCTGTAGTTCAACCTGGTAATCAACAAGGGAAAATTGATAAGAATCACATGCACTGATGTTCAAAGGATTCACAGGTAGCATTTCGTGTCACAACCCAATAATCCTTTGTGAACTGGTTAATTTGCATGGTCATTACCATTGCATTGCTATGAAACTTAAAGCCAAACTTGAATTAGGACTAGGACCAGCCTGTTCTTTTTCAGGATCTTCAGTCCATTGGGCGGCATGAGCATGTGGATTGTCTCGCTTTGCTTGACAGCAAAGTTCTGTTTCCTCTCACGCCTCCCAAGGTTCAGCATCTGAAGGAGGAAAAACATGGTGATCAAATTGCAACGTACGGACCCCCGGCCTGTCCATGATGGACTGTTCATCATACACGATGAGCAACTGCTTTTCACATCGCTGGACAGAAGATTCACCCTTCTTGAGGGTAGTGAACTGGGATTTGTTTCCTGAATGGTTAAACACAAGAATCTTTAAACACTTTTTGAACAACACATGACACATCCCAGCATGAACCCAATCACTGTCCTTGACGGCCAGCATCATTGACCATGATGATGTCTGATGGCGCAAAGGTAGGTGCTCCATCACAATTGTCTTCGAAGCGGACCCTCCTAAGTCTTAGTGGAATGAATAAACAAACTTGTGTTAGCTTAACACGAAATTATATAATTTTCACCACCCCACATGACGTGTGAAAACATGTTATCTCAATGAGTTCAGATAAGACACGCAACTGCACCCAAGAGCTTCATCAAGCGACCGTCCTGAGCAGAGGAAATGAATTCAATCTCAGGGGGGTCTCATTAATTCATGGATATTGTTTCCCTGATTTTGGTCAAACAACATTTTCCTGTATCCTGCAAAGGTCTGAAGCCTCTTACTTAAAACAAAAGGTGGGTTTGAATTAAACTTTATGAGTTGAACCATGTGAAACCAAGATTCTTTCATTGGCGGTTGACGCACTTTGGGCTGACTGCCATGCAGCTTCCGAACACTTCTTGCTGTCAAAGAAATGGAGCAGTGTTGCCGTGCAGTGAGGCTCTTCACCTGGATGGAGACTACGCCTGAGCGGATGCTGGCAGGGATCCCCAGCAACAATTGGATTCAAAACGGCTGGGTTTACATATGAGGTAAGGCGCCACTCACCATGGTAGTCCTTGGCCCAGGTATCAGAATACAAATCCACCAGATCATTTTCATTTGTTGGTTGCGGTTCGACGATCCATTTGATGCAGGTTGCCACCTCATCCAGGGACAATCATAACCATGATTTTGTCAAATTGGTTGTCAGGATAAATTATAATATGTCTTCTGACTCTAGCTTTAAACATAGGCCCGTGGCTTTAAATTAGCATGTGTTTTTTGAAATTATCATGATGTGCTTGTGGGGTAAAACATTTTTTTGACAATTCCTAACCTTTCTTTGAGCCAGTTTTTTGAAACTCAGCAGGCGCTCATTGAGCTTGCTCATCAGGGACACTTCGGCATCCTTTTTGAACGGCAAGTTAGGTTTGTCAGTCTCACCGATCTTCATGTGTTGAAGCACCGTCTTGACTGGATCAACCTCATCCTCCTCATCCTCTTGGTTGTCCTCAGTCATGACAACTGCATCCTCCGCTTTGTGCTTGTTCAGTTGGACATTTTTCTCCTTGGCTTCCTGCTGGATCATCTCCTTGATCGCACTGACTTCTTCGTTCAACCAGGGTGAAGACTCAAGGTACTCATTGCTAGATCTGCGGTTTTTCACCAACGCCACCAGGCAGCTCCAGTATTCCAAGTCATAGACACAGCCCTCGGAATCTTATGGTTGAACATCAGTCAGGATTCGATCAAGAAGAGTTCAAACGTTTTTTGAGAAATTTTGGATTATAAATAAGCAACAGGCATATTCTATAATATAAACAATAAAATTCTTATAAAGATTGCAAAGCAAGCATGTTTAGACAAGCAAGATACTTTGACTAGCTGCCAGAAACGTTCTGCAGATTCAGGCCATCCTGCCCGCCACGTCTCATCTCCAGCCGAGAGTTTCCTCCAGACTTCTCAGGAAAACCATATCATATTTGGAGGGCAATGGATGTTAATATGTGCCATTATGGGTTCTGTTGGAAATCGACCAAAAAAATCTTCAGACAACTGTTGGCACAAATAATCGAACCCAAGATTCGCCCGGATGGTGTTGTGGCTGGCCGTCACCTCCTTGATCGACTGCCGCACTGCCACAGGCCAAGAAGTTGCATCACTCTCCATGAAGTTGATGAAAAGATCAAGGCACGCCTTTTGGGCAAGTAGTACACGGCATGTGAGCGACTGCAAGTTCCTGTTGGAAGTCGCATCCTTGTTGACGTACCCATGCATGACTCCATCGTACCTTTCATGGGCCAGGACCAGAGGAGAAAAAAGTCCAGTAATATTTAACCCTGGAATTGTAACACCAGAAGCATGTTGAATATCCTATTGAACAAGTGTTATATTATAGCATTAATCACATCCCCATAACATGAGGTGCCCTTTTTCACCCTTAAAGTAAACCTTTTTAACCAAAAAAAAGCACCTGTGACATATCCATATGTGTTGATCATAGATTTTGGTAGAAAATGATGAGATGATATGCCTTACCCATAATGAATGAAACCAAGGCACAGGGCGAAAAACACCCATTTGATCCCTTCTGGATTCCGTCCTTGCTGAATCAAGATCTGAAACTTCGACCACCGATCAAACGGGTTTTTACGTTGTTCATCAGCTCCCAGCAACAAGGCACTGAGCTCCGTGTCTTTCAAGACCTCACTGCCGAATAGTTCAATCTAAAAAACTTGCTTGTCCATACCCAATTTTCACCTAACCAAATCAAAACCCCAGGCTTTTGAAAGCATCATTTTGATCAGCTTTAGTTCTGGAAAACCACCCTATGACAATTTCGGACAGGGTACTCGATTTCCCATCGTGCAGGCTGTGTCGACAAAGGACGGGGATACCTGAGCGATGTGGTGACGTTGGTTGTTATTCGTTTTGGGGGGGCCACAGTAATTCCTTGCAAAACAAGTCATGGTGCATTCTTATTCTTGTTGACTGAGGCTAAAAAACAATGTTCGATTACCTTCTATTTTACAGTCAAAAGAAACAAAGTCTATATTCAAACCAAACTGCTGCATCCTCTGGGTTGGCCCATGTCACTTTGTCTTCATACAGTTTGGAGAGAGCCTCACTCTTGATGGTACCGTGTTTTGCCTCCCATTCAGACTTGAACCCCAAGATGTTGAATATCTGCTGAAGAGGCGAATGCTTGAGCGCAATTCCGTGCAATTCGAAGTTCCTTGCTGTTGCTTTGATTTGAATTCAACATAACTGAAATTGTGCGGACTAAGATTGGGTTCAAATGGTCTGAACTTGTTTAAGACTATGTGTAATCTATTGAATCCCCAAATGAAAAACCATAGAGTCATGCCGAAATTAATATACCCGAGGATCTGTCGCTCTTGGCATGCAAGCATGTGCAGCCTTAGGTAGCAACAGTGCAAAGTTTCAATACATTGCCATCAACAAAAAATATAAATCGCATGACCATCATGATGATCAAATCAGGTCAACAACATCACCATGCAAGTTGCTGACTAGTAACTCGCTAATGGGCACATCATCCAATCTGTACTCAAAGGACACGCTGAGGAATTGCCTGTCGAACCATAAACATGGTGTTGTTGTACTTTACTGGAACCACTGAGAACATGCGGGTGTATTGATGAAGCATGACATGAGGGACCAGCATGTATAATGATAAGCTGATGAATTACTCTTGTCTCTTGTTGGTGCCACCTTGCCTTTTCCACTCGTCCATCAGCTCCGGCTTGTTGATGTCTCTGTGGGCTGCAAAAACAAATGCTAAGTCCATCTCAACGGGGCTGAACATCTTGACCTTGCAGAACGCAGGATCTTCTGCTGGGTCAGCCTTGACAACCTGATCATAGCCCATGTCCTGAAGTGAGAGGTGCAGGGGGATGAGTTTAAGGGTGTTGCCCAACTAAATTCCAAGACATTTCAACTTGAGTGGCAAAACGATAATGCTTTGTTAGCCAAGTTTCCTTGGGCACATGAACTTGGAGTAGGGTTGGGTATGCTGCAGGTTTCGCAAAGTGGTGACTGACGATCATGTCCACCACAGAGCTTCGGATTGGAGTCTCAGAAAAGCATTGAAATAAAGTTGACAGGTTTTGAGGATTTGGACAGCACAAGAAGACGGTTCAAAGCCCCCCCAAAGCAGAAAACACATAGAACAATGTAGCTTTTGACTTACTCAAAGTGCTTTCCTTCTGTTTTTCTGGGCTCTAAAATCTCCCAGTCAACCAACTTGGCAATATTGCGTTGTAAGAACTTGTTTCTGCAGAAGCACAGTGAATGCAACCGAGGAACTCCGGAAGTTGGGCTCCAAAACAAATTATGACGGAACCAGTTTTGGCCACATCGGTACACCTTCTTCCCAGTCTCCGTGCTGTTCATCACCGATGTATAGTGAGAACTGTTGAATGGGGCCTGGAGATTCAATGGTTTTTTCTTGCAAAAAAAAACGTGTTTTTTTCCTTGTAAAGGATGGAGGCCCCCATGTTGTTCAAAGTTGGTGAGTTAGTTGATGGAAACGATTCAATTCAATTTCATTGAAATGAATGGGTGGTTGGCTCCAAACCCTTTTTCTGACCATGTGATGTTTTGTTAAACGGAAGTCAGGAATCACAAACGAACCATCTATTTGAAACCCCATCCGTACCCTGCCTCTTTTCCACCATCCTTGACCAGCAGCGGGTCCTCCATCGTCACATCGGGCCACAAGTCATGGAGATCATTCACATGTTTTCTGAAGACGTGCAGCCTTAGGTTTGATGCAGCTCAATCAAGTTGCATCGCCGTTGTCACGGCTAATGAAATGTCGAGATGGGTGATGGATCATCAAAACCGAAAACACCATTGGTGGGGAATAAACATCAACTTGCTGAATATTTGGGGTTTAACCCATCATTACCCATCATATGTCGTGGGATCGAACCAAAATTTGCCATAGCTTTATCGCTTTGTTGAAACCTGCCTCCCCATTAGGCCAAGACACAGTTCAGCATTGAACTCACATCCACTGGCTGGCATATCGCTACCACTAGCCTGGCTTCCGGCCACGGAAGGCGCTTTGGATTTGCTCTTTCTGGGAGCCATGGCGCGGTGCCCAGCACAACAGGCACTGAGCTTGACCAGGTCAGCCCCTGGGTGATCCTTCAAAATCACGTGGCAGTGGAGGAAGCTGTGCGATGATATAATAAACCCATTGGGCTGTAATCATTGAAGTTATCAACTACATTGGTTTTGTTTTAGTTTGATGTTTTATTAAAGTTTTCCCGATGGCTTGCCCCCCCCTAACGAACTCCCCCAAAGAAAACAGCCACAAGGAAAATTACAATTCATTGATATCATTGATATTATAAATCTTAAATGACATTACCTGCATTTAAGATAGTTTGTGATCTAAGAAGCTGCGAAAGCTGCAGGCTCTTAGATCACTCACTACCGGTAGCGATTGATCTAAGAGGGGGTTCTGTTTCATTGATCCACCTTTGATCTTGCGTTCTTCGCACCAACACCCCAGCGAAAACACAAGATCACCCTAGGCCCAACGATCTCAAAACCATCCTTAGATCACTCACTACCGGTAGCGAGTGATCTAAGAGCCTGCAGCTTTCGCAGCTTCTTAGATCACTAACTATCTTAAATGCATTTAACTGGAAACACAGAAAATACAGAAATGTGTTGAATTCTCCCATTCCAACCCTAGTGAACGAACAAAGGAAGTAAGTCAAGTTGACCAGATACATCCGGGTCCAAATCCACAAACTCAGTGCCAATAGCGAGTGATCTAAGGAAGGAAAGTTTGGTGGTTTCCCCAATTCACTACTGCTAGCGAGTGATCTAAGGAACTAAAATTTTTGGGCAAATCCATCCAAATCCCCAAACTCACTACCGCTAGCGAGTGATCTAAGGAACTAAAATTTTGGGCAAATCCATCCAAATCCCCAAACTCACTACCGCTAGCGAATGATCTAAGGAACTAAAATTTTGGGCAAACCCATCCAAATCCCCAAACTCATTACCGCTAGCGAGTGATCTAAGGAACTAAAATTTTGGGCAAATCCATCCAAATCCCCAAACTCACTACCGCTAGCGAGTGATCTAAGGAACTAAAATTTTGGGCAAATCCATCCAAATCCCCAAACTCACTACCGCTAGCGAGTGATCTAAGGAACTAAAATTTTGGGCAAATCCATCCAAATCCCCAAACTCACTACCGCTAGCGAGCGATCTAAGGAACTAAAATTTTGGGCAAATCCATCCAAATCCCCTAAACTCACTACCGCTAGCGAGTGATCTAAGGAACTAAAATTTTGGGCAAATCCATCCAAATCCCCAAACTCACTACCGCTAGCGAGTGATCTAAGGAACTAAAATTTTGGGCAAATCCATCCAAATCCCCAAACTCACTACCGCTAGCGAGTGATCTAAGGAACTAAAATTTTGGGCAAATCCATCCAAATCCCCAAACTCACTACCGCTAGCGAGTGATCTAAGGAACTAAAATTTTGGGCAAATCCATCCAAATCCCCAAACTCACTACCGCTAGCGAGTGATCTAAGGAACTAAAATTTTGGGCAAATCCATCCAAATCCCCAAACTCACTACCGCTAGCGAGTGATCTAAGGAACTAAAATTTTGGGCAACTCCATCCAAATCCCCAAACTCACTACCGCTAGCGAGTGATCTAAGGAACTAAAATTTTGGGCAAATCCATCCAAATCCCCAAACTCACTACCGCTAGCGAGTGATCTAAGGAACTAAAATTTTGGGCAAATCCCATCCAAATCCCCAAACTCACTACCGCTAGCGAGTGATCTAAGGAACTAAAATTTTGGGCAAATCCATCCAAATCCCCAAACTCACTACCGCTAGCGAGTGATCTAAGGAACTAAAATTTTGGGCAACTCCATCCAAATCCCCAAACTCACTACCGCTAGCGAGTGATCTAAGGAACTAAAATTTTGGGCAAATCCATCCAAATCCCCAAACTCACTACCGCTAGCGAGTGATCTAAGGAAGTCAAATTTGATAGTTTCCCCAATTCACTACCGCTAGCGAGTGATCTAAGGAACAAAAAAATTGAGCAAACCCATCCAAATTCCCAAACTCACTACCACTAGCGGGAATGATCTAAGGCAAATGCTTGTTGAACACACTTAGCCTTTGTTGTGGTGGCAACATGACAATGAAACACTATTTTTCTGATTCTGCAACCCCCCAGATCAGAGTCCAATCGCCATTTGATTCATGGCTTTATTGTCATCATCAGGTCAGTGGTTGAACCACACTAAAGAGCTAATTAAATCAAACACTGCAAACGCCACGCCAAGTGCGAGCGGTGTCAATTTGCTTCAGCTTCGAAATCATGGTGTTTGCCTTGAGCATCACCATCTTGAGGGATCGTAAGTGAACCACCTAAGGAATAAGGAATCAGAATGCTAATAAATCAAATATATACTATTTTCCAACATTGAACATGGTTCAGGATGCTGATGGTGTCAAACTGTGGCATTTGATAATTGCAGCCTGAGGAGCCTCATCTGACTCACTGTCATCAGTAATGAAGCATAGGAATCGCCCAGGTGGGTAGGAAGCACTCTTGGCCTCAGAAAGGCCGTGATGACATGATCATATAGGACCGTAATGGACAACAGTCAGTACTGAAACCATTTAACTGGCTGACTTCCAAAAAGCATCCCTTGGTTTCCATGATTCAGTAATGAATAATCATTAGTAAGGGTGATATTTTCTTCATGGGGGAAGAAAGGATACTTTCTGACATTCTGACAGTGGAACATTGGATAACAATGAGTCCCAGACAATAACTTCATCGTAGCTCAAAAGCTTCCAGCGACGAGGTGTGGGTTGGGCCCCAATTGCACTTTCAATTACCTTGGTGATTCCTTGGAAAGCGTCCTTGAAATCTTGGGACATGAAGATCCATTTTGGCTGGTCTAGGGGAGACTTGAATGCAATTCTGGTACCCGGGGCTAGCATGGGTCCACCTGTAATGCATTTTGAACTCACCAAGCACCCACCACGAAGCACCATGGCTAATTCGTTGCGTACACCAGGCTTTACCATGTTGTCAATGACGATGAAATCTGCAATGGAACGGTCCCGTGTGATCTTGCCGGAGAGATGGTTAACAATGTTGGTCTTGATGTCCCTGTCGTGGGTATCCTCTGCAAAGAAAACCTTGCCCTCGGTGATGGTCTGTTTGGGCCCTTGGTTCAACTTGTTTCAATAATGCTGTGCAGCATGGGGAGACATCAAAACCCCAGGCTGTGACTTTGCCAAGATGCTGATCAATGCTTCTCTGCCTCACCGAGGCTGGATGCGGGGATGGTTTTGGGTAAGTTACCAACACAATTTCCGGCTGTTGATGATGATGATGCACATTGTGACACAAAGACTAGGCATCAAACGTTTTGACCGGTCTCTATAATAGTCTTGTCGGAGAACAACTTTTTGTTTCAAAAACTCCAGTAGTCGCTTCCGGTCATTCTTTGTCCCCTTCAAGATGCCATCCTTGATAGCTTCCATTCCTGACCAACATCATCGAAAGATCCAATAGTTGACAAACCCAGTTGGTTGCAATCTCTCTGCAAACTTTGAACGAAAACAAGTGCAAACTGCTTTCCTTTGACTCTGTTACTATGTTTTTTCTGGAGGTCTAGCAGCAGTATGATAGGGGCTTGGCTGAGCCCTTCACTGTTTGCATGTACTCGCTTGTTTTGCAGTTCAATCTCTTTGGTTTGTTTCTGTGTCCACAAAGACCTGGAAAGTGAATCAGCACGGGGAGGCACATTAGAGGAGGATGAACCACCAGTTGAAGCCACCATTGTTTTGACCACCCGTCTCCTTTTGCGAATCCACTCGGCTTCATTGCCAGCATCACATGTACGTTTTTTGCACCGTCTCACATGTACCCGGGTCGACACCTGCCAGGTCTTAAGGTCTCAAAAGTTGAAAAAATGTTACACTGGGATATCCCTGGGTTCTTACTACCGCATTGTTGCTACAATCCAAACGTATTGAAATTTGTCATCACGGTGACTGTAACGATACTACGACCCCGGCCTTTCTGGCATCTCCATACACACGAGCCTGGGTTAAGAGTTTATGCGGGCAGTGTCCCACTGTCACTGTTTAAAGGTATAAAATGATATAAAGTATTTGCAAATGGTGATCACTTGTAATCTCAACTTTCCGAGCAACCCATTCCATTTGGGCCATGTCGACAGCAATGTCCATCTCACTGTGACACAGATAAGCCACACGCAGCTCGTCATTGACGGTTTCCACCATGACATCTCCACGTTGAGTTCCATTCATCCAAACCGACTTGGAAAACCTCAGTTTCGCTCAGTTTTTGGTGTTAATGTGTGTTACATTTTTGCATCATGGCCCTACACTTACTATTACGAGAACGAAACTATATGCAACTGATGAAGGGGGTGGCACAAAATCAATTTGCTACGTGGGGTATAATATGAACAATATGACTTAAGGCGGAAAATAGGGCACCTTGTTTTGAGAAATCCCATAGTCGGCCAGCAGCCTAGCACCAATCGTCCACCAAATAATTCGGAGAACCAAGATACAATCGCTCCACACTGGATGTCGAGAAAGTAAATGCCAACTTTCTGCATAGAACTGATGCCATGCTGTCGCAGGCTCCTTGCCCGACAAGCTTCCGCTCACGAAGGAGGGCAGATCGCCATGCCAGTGTTGGGTCCTTGTTGTCGGATTGCTTGTGATAAGCACATGCCACCGGGTACAATGTCTTCATCTCAGCTAGGAGCATCCCCTTAGTGACAATGGTAAGTTTGGATTATGGTTTTTATTAGGCCACCCGTCAAAAGAACAAAAAATCGTTATAAAATAAATGGGTTACTGTTTTCAATTTACGGCGTTAATTGGATTGGAAAGATGGGTTGGTAAGCCAAAAAGCTAGGAAATTTTCAACTTTGGATGAGTGTCTTTGTCAAGCCCCCAAGCTGTGGCCAATGCTTTAGCAGAATCCTGGGATGGTCTTGGCATTTTGTCCACTTGGAGGTTCAATCTCAAAGCCACAGCCAAGTGCATGCACACCCCAAACGAAGGGAATTCTGTTTCCAGAATTGTTGTAGCCACCTTGACCCAGTTCATCATCCTGGCACATTGGTGACGCAATGATCGCTGTACACAAGTCAATGGTGGTGGTACATAGTGACATATTGGTAAATAAATGCATCGAGATTGAAGTTTAAAAATAGTACGGGATGGCCTTCCCATGACACGATGCTTGATTTGTGAAGTGATGGCATCAGGGCCGCCAAGCACAAGTTGCTTCCCTTTGTGAATCAACACCACCGGTGTCTTCCTTAGGTTGTTTGCATGATACTTTGCATTGGAACGGTTTTGAATTAGTACATGCACTGCCACTGTCACTGCAATCAGATAAAAATAAGTCATAATAATCCGAGATTCAGAGTTTCGAGGAGAAACGTGGAATATGTGCCAGGGGTCTCAAACAAGTAGCCCCGGGTGAACATGCAGGCTATGTTCTTCTGGAACCTGAGTGCAGCAAGTTGCAAATTACTACGGTACTACGGGCCCCGATGACATACTCTTGGATGTGTGTCAGAGCATCGAGCACTTGGATGACAACAACAAAACACTGCGAGAAGAGAACAAAGACCTACTATGAGGGCTTCAGGCATCGCACTGCAGCTTGAGATCTACGGGATTGAGAAGCCGGAGCCATCAGGCATCTCCAAAATGACATGGGATGTTGATGCTGCTTGAACGAAGCCTGGATCATCAACCTAACTACAATAATTAACCATAGTATCGAGAAATTACCCTTAGACCACAAATCTCAATCCCAGCCACGTCTCAAGAGCATACATCAAGTCTGTGGGCTGAAAGCTATCAGAATCGGCCACCCTCGTAACCAGGAATGCTTCATCGTGGGCATCGGCCAATGCTGCTAGGGTCCTTGGGGACATCAAAAGTAAGAAAGACTTTTTTCTCATGCATGAGGATTGGAAAAATACGACTTGAATTCGAATCACGATATTATAAGATGAGCCACAAAGCTTCTTCCACGCTCCATTGCTCCAAGAATTCTGTGGCAGTTTTGCCTTCTGCCTAGGTTGGAATTTTACTTGCATGGAATTGCATATCAGGATACATATTTCAAGATGGCCAGCCAAGTCTTTGAAAGGCCAAGTAACTTTTCCAGCACGTTCCCGACACAGCGTCTCCATGGTCACCAGGAGCGGTTGCATGTGGAGGACAAGTCGCCCAAGTGGTTTCTGGAGGCTCTCAAAGCGATGTTTCGCGGCTCGTAAGTTTTTGCCTTCAAAGTTGGCAACTTGGGAAAATGGGATATGATGAGAGAAGCATAAAGAGGATACTGAATGTCACTCAACTTGAAACAGGTTTGCTGACTATTATGTTATAATGTTTCTCAAGCTTGTGACATGACATGTGAACTGATTGAAGCTGAAGAACAGCTCCACCCGTTGTTGGACTTCACAAAGTGGCCAAAACGCTTGGCAAAGTAGGGTCGAAACTGCAGCAGTTGTGCTGGTGACTGGCCACCCGTCACATACTTTTTGAGCACCCGTGCCAGGTATGGATCTGCCTGCGTACATCGGCTGGCAATCCTCAGGCAGCAATTTGGGGCTGGAGTGGGTAACATGGAGGTCTAGTTGAAACAGGGAATACAATTTCTGAGTACACAGTAACATTTCAGATTTGGGGCCACTGATTCTCTTCCGAACATGTTCGGACATTGCCAAAAAAAACATATTCGATCAAATGGAATAGAACGGGATGGAGTCTGAAGCTTTTTGTGGTGTTTTTCCATCAGCAGTCCTTCGTGATGCATGGGCTGTGTCTTTGCTTCTAATGCGGAGATTGGTAAAATCCAGCTTCAAAAGCTCTGCAGCCACCATTTCCTAAGAGTCAAGGTTTGAACATGAAACTTACAGGTGCTGCTGGAGATCGGAACAAATAGAAAAAATGACCAATGAACCCATCACAGAACATACTTGTTAATTATCGCAAGCTAGAAACGTCACCAGCTGCATCTGTGCAGAACTGTTCAACTTTCGGCTTGAGTGCGTCCAGTGCGTCACCAAATTGCAGAGGCAATGTGTCCTGGGCCAACTGACAAACACTGTTTCAATGGCATGTTGTGTTTCCCATGAGCTTTGTTTCTCACCTTCCGTTGGCCCTGCACAAGTATAGAAGGAAAATAGGTAAAAAGTTAAGCCCAAGAGTCCCTAGTGAAAGGAACCACTGAAGATGGAGTGCACAACTCCTTCAAAATGCCCATTGTGGCATCCCGAACCCCGACTGCAGTGAGGTCTTGGTGCTCTGCCTGGTCCCAGATGCCCAAGAAGCCGCTTGACGTTTCCATGGCCAAGCTGCACGAACTGTATCGCAAGGCCATTCGATGCTTGCGAGGGTCCTGGGAAGACTCAAGCAGTGGGGTGCTGGCTCCTGAAATTGTCTTGGTTTAACTTCAAAACGATTTAACATTGAGAAGTTGAGGGGAGAGAGAGAGAGAGAGAGAGAAGTTTGAAAGTGGATCTGTCCTGTTGCAAAGAAACAACTTCAGCAGCCTTCAGCTTTTTCAGAGTCAATAGACGGGCTGCTTGGCCAATGCAATACAACATTTTCCTCTGCAGATTTCTGCCTCCAACCTTGACAGGGACCAGTGTCATCTGGAATAATTGAAAGATTAAAAGATCATCAAAAATCAGCCCAGAAAATGTTGAATACTACCCAATGAGTTTTGTGTACGTTGATGTACGTTGACATTGTTTCCCCTGCCTTGGATTTATCAGCTTTCTCCTGTTTCTGAATGCCCTGGACTACAGACTTGAAAGCCGATCCATGAGGAACAATTTTTCCTGCCACCAGTGAATGCCCCATGATGTTCTCGATGCACGTGCCATCATCCAGTTTTGTAGCCTGAATGTGCTCTTGCATCGGGGGAGCACTTGGTTATACTTGGTTAAGTTACCTGTGTCACAACCACCCAATTAATCCTTTTGGCATTGGACAGATGTTCTATAATTACCCAGAATCTTTCCAAGCAACTGCAAGCCGATGAGCTCTAGACTCTGAATGTTGTTGCACATGGTGTCGCAAGAACGATCCTCTACCTCGTGCACCTTGGTTGAAATAGAAGGTCATCATCCAAGACACAAAACTAATTACATGTTGAATGCACGGATGATGTGAAGGCTTTCAAAGAACTTGAAAAAAATATCATTCGTAAATTATTCCAGGGTACCACCACCAGTAGCCCATTTCCCTTTCACACCAGCAGCCTTGCAGATCTGACATTGGACCCCATGTGGCCCCAGAAAGACCCAGGGATATTCACGCTGCCAAGTTCTCACCTTAGAGGCCATACATCGAAGCTGCTTCGTCGTCTTGCTCGTCATGTGGCAAGCTCAGAACAAGCAGCTGGCATGGCAACACTTACCTCAACTGAAGATGAATCTTGTGAGTGATTGGTGATCACCACTGAACCTTTCATTAAACTATTGCTAATATCATATCATAGAATCATAGTTTAATTATCGGTGGTTCATTGTCGGCAAGCGAGCAGTTTTATAAAGCGAGGTGACCGCCTATGTACATCTATTGAAATTGACCATGTTTGCAGTCTGTGTTCCTGAAATAAGCTGCAGGGAGAGAAATCTGACGTCATGCAGGGCCCATGCTCTGGCAGAGATTGCACTACTCATGATCAATATGATCAATTGCCTAAATCAAACCTTGTTGTTTTAAAGCCCATCATTTGACTTGAATGATTTATGATGAACATAAATATTCAAGGGGTACCTTCCCAAAGTCAGTACAGCAGCAATCACTTCCCCCAGCAGATCCCCTGCTTCCATCCGCATTTGGGCCACCAAACCAGGTGCAATGAGACCGAGGGTGGCCGTGAAAGACCTGGCATGAGCAGCATGAGGTGCAATCTTTGGGCTTGCAGCGGAGAAGGGTGACGAAAAGGAATCCCATACACAAGAGGACCAGGAATCAATCTAAATATATACATCACACTCAGTTCTAAATATCCCCATCATCATCACTACTTTGCACAATCAGTTTCATCGACATCAGGAATCAGCAGTGTTCGTAAGCATTCAACTATTTTCCAGATCAATGCAACTGCAACAACCATACACCAATGAGGTATATGAAGTTTTGACCCATGCAGTTTTGAATAGACAATCCACTTATAACCCGTTGTTTTGAACATTCCTGTCGGGTGGATCACTTACATGGCCCGGTTTGGCGCCTGGCTCGCGATGATCACGATTGCCAGTGGCACCTGGCTTGGGATGATCAGATCATGTCATCAAACTCTAGTCAGCCACGGAGAAAAAGCAACATATTATTATGTACTCTCAACAATTACAGCTTAAGATGTTGCATGGCTGCATGACCTACATCACAAATAAATCATATGATTACCATCATTCGTAAATCATGGCCACACCATGACCTAGCATATTCCTTTGGCTTGCTGTGATGGCAACTGGAAATCCGCAGAGCACTTCTGTGACTACATCAGAGCTGCACCATGTCACCATGTCATATGATTTTATGTTGTTCTATATATGTGTTCTTAGATCCCCTTTTTCTATTTTACACTTGGCTTTTTTAAAACAGAACCCTTTGGGATGTGAAATGATGTGAAGTCTTTGACAGGGGTTCGATTGAGTTGAGGTGGAGACAGGTGGGGAACCTGGCAGGATTACTGAGAGGAAGGCAGTGACCTCTTGTTTCTCTGTTACACTTGGCAAGTTTCTACTTTCCACTGGACGGTTTTTCCTTGAGGCAATGAATGGGATGTGCTGCCAAATGAGCCTAGCATCACTGGCATCACTCGTGGTGGGCTGGTCATGATTGAAACCTGGCTGCTGTTATCTACTTTTTCTATTTTTGAATGTGGTTCCAATCCAACTATCATCTAGCACTCTTTGTCAAGGTTTTGGATGATTTTTTGTAGTCTATTATCTGTCTCCCAGGAGTCAGTGGTGGCTACAACATGGACTGGCGGTGGTGAGGAGCTTTACAGAATAGCACTCCAAAATGTGACTTGGCATTGATTGGACAGGTTTTCTTTTTAATTTTATGTTTGTAGTCCATGGGTGACATCCACCCAAGAAATATGTGGGCTTGTGGTTCCCTGAAAGATTTAGATCCAACATTAGAGTTGCTTTCTATTTTCAGTTTCAAGTGTTGTTTTGCCAAATGTTGGTGGTTGCCCCGGTTTCTGAATGATGGTTGGTGCTTTTCATCGGGAAATTTCATGGCATACCTATCGCGGGTCTTTACCTGGCCTCATCTTTACCTGGATCGAGGTTCTAAATGCCCAAGATAAACTATATGAATGTGACCATGATGCTTCGACCTCCAGCAACCCCAATGCTATTGGCATGAACGAGCCATAGCTATGATGAGATGAAGGAAAAAAAGATCTGAGCGCAGTCGGAGCTGCAGCCGGATGGGAAAACCACAAAGCCTTTAATTACTTGATTTTTGGTACCCTTGATTATTTGAGTGGGAGGATGAACACCTGTTTGCCAAAAAAACATGCCAGGTGCACGGCGTGAAGATCCACACACTTGGATGGTGGCAGTGGCAGCTGCAGCCACCGCTGGCTGCTGGAGGGGGGTGAAGGATAAGGTATATATAAGAGATACAGTAAAAATGATCTATATAAACTATTTAACTATCATAAATGCAGGTAAGTATATATACATACATATATATATATATATACATACATATGCCTGCCCCCAAAGCAGAAGAACTCTACTTGTTCTCCCATGCAATGCTGAATATGGCACTCAGGGTGTATACTTATACTGCACAATATGCATCTTGTAGAGCAATATGGAACACAAGTTGAGACAGAATCGTGACAGCCATGCAACCGTTGTGAAACACAACTCAAATACAGTACAGTATATAGATACAGTTGGAGAATAATTTCAACAAGTGTCCTGAAATACGGTTTTCAGAACTTTCAAAAGGGCAAGTTAGGACACGTGCTGAAAAGCTGTGTAAATTCCTCTCACAAACACATGCGTATAAACTCAGAAGTAAAAAGCCAAAACAACCCCAAAGGGCGAAGAAACCAAAAGCCACAAAAACCATAAAAACACAACAGCAACAAAAGCCGAGAAGCCGCAAAAGCAAGAAAAAAACACAAAAGCCAGAGAGCCAGGCTGGAAACAGAAAAGATAGACAAACAGCTACTGTAGATACACCCATAGATCAGACAGATCGACAGACCTCCACTTCATGATTCTTCATCCAGTTTCATTGATAGTTACTGTACTATAAGCAATGGGATTGATAACTAATGGTGGATTATTGACTAAGTGTTATGAATAACTATGAATGATTTTTGGATTATTCATAATGGTGATTTCCATCTTCACTATTTTTTTTAAATATATTTCTCTATATATATACATATATAACATACCAAACATAAACACATATAAAACACTATCAAAACTATAAAAACATATAAAACTATGTTAAAATTTTTGAACTATATTTCAACATATTATCAACAATAAATCATATTATTAAACAATATTATAATACTATTAGAACATCTCAATATCTACCAAAATTTATCCATATTTTTAACTAGCATATCTATCTTTTAAAACAAAAACAACTCATGTTATCCCAGCTTCATACAAGATCACCGTGAAACCAATCGCATCCCTCAGCGCTTGCGGCATCTCTTGGGGTTTCTGCATCTGCGCGCGCACGCTGGGCACCGTGGCCAGGATGGCAAAGGCGAAGATGAAGGCGGACAAAGTGATGCCGGCCCTCAACGGTGTAATTTGGCATATCCAAAGAGGTGTTTACATATTTTACATAGCATGTATACATGTGAATGTATTTACTTAGTATATTGGTTATATACTATATATAATTATATATAATTATATATATATTAGTGATGTAGAATGTAGATGTTTTTATGTGCATATGTAAATAAATAAGTTGTTTTTTGTATTGTTAATCCGTTGCGAAACTAAAAAATGATACATGCATGTATGTACATGATGCATCCCTCTTCCCCCTAGTCTTGATGAACCTAGTCTTGATGAGTGTTTTGCATCTGTGCGGATATCAATGGCCCATGGCTAGAAAACAAACCTTCCCAACATATTTGATGTCTTTGAGTCACAACAAAACCCAAGGGAATGAGCCTCCTATCCTCCAGTAATCAAAACCCACGATAAAACATTTGAAAAAAAATGTCTTGTGGGTTTGAAACCAGTTCGCGTGAATCAAACCGAATCGTTTTGCCAGCTGCAACCTCATTTTTTTTGTGGTTTGAGGCATGTTATGTGATTTTTTCGCCCCGTTTGGCTACGAGTCAAACCCCTGGTACCCAAATGGTACCCTGAGTCATAGCTGGTGCCTACGGTACAGCTGGCTGCTGATTTCCCTATAGGATTCGTCCGTAACTTCACCGCCATTCGGCCGCCCGAGGCGCATTCCGGGGATCGTCGAGCCCTCCGGAGGCAGCATCGAGTAGCTCCGGTCCCTCTCTGTGAAGCAGCCCAGAAGACAGCCACCCACCAGGCCGAAGAGCTGAACTGTCATACCTCTAACGCGCCCATGAGTTGCGGAAAAAAAATATCCCGATCAGCCAGAAACAAAACCAGTTGCCAAACACGCAATGAGTGAAGTATGTTTATTGCCCCGCCCTTCTTACTCTAGAGGTCGGGCGTGCAATGCGCAATCACAGCACAAACCCTTTATGAAAAAACGTTTTTCCAAAAACAACTGCAATACTGTGGCCAATATTCCCGGAGCTCGTGCGAAGGGTTTTTTTCCCAAAGAACTGTTGTCTGCCTAACTTTTCACTTCATGTACCTAACATACATCATCCACATCTCTTATGTTCTTTACATCAAATACATCTTCTATACCATCTTCTACACCATCTTCTCTAGATCTACATCTACATCTACACCATCATCGTCACCATCATCATCATCACCACCTACATCTGTCTCACCTACATTATCTACACCACCTACACATTTGTTCCGCAACTTTATCTATATGATATGTTTTATCTACAACACATACATTACCTACATCATCATCATCATCATCATCACTACATCCTCTACATCACCCACATCACCCACATCACCTACATCTTCTGCACCATCTTCCCTACATTATCGTCATTGCCATCATCATCACCACCACCACCATCATCATCATCATCAATCTCATCTACACAATCTACATCACCTACACAATCTTTAACCATCAACCTCATCTAGATGACATGCATCATCTACAACGCATACATGACCTACATCATCACCTATATCACTGCATCTTCTACATCACCTATATACATCTTCAGACCTGTCTAACCTTGCATCACTTACAACATCATCCTCATCAGCTACAGGTGATCAACTTCTAGGGAACTCCTACAAAACTTGAAAAATGTCATTTACACAGGAGTTGACTTGCAGGTGATCCACTTCTACTTGAATTCCTACAAGACTCCTGCCTGCAAGGCCATTCGCACAGGAATTGTTACACAGGAGTTGCTACACAGGAGTTCGGCTAACTTCAAGGTGATCAAATTGTATCTGAACTCCTGCAAAATCAGACTTCTCCGGTTGTTCTATTTCTCTCCGGCTATTTCTCTCCGGCGGCATGGACAGCCAGGCGGTGGCCTACGAAACGTTACCCTCTGCGGCGTGTCGGACACCCAAACGTGTGGCGAAATGCGGGTCTTGTTTGTCCTTGGGCAACCCTCTGCGGAGATCGTGCGTGTCGGATGGGCAAACATGTGGTGTTGTGAAATGTAAAACTTCTTTGCCCGCAGCAACCGTCTGCGGAGATCGTGCCTTTTGAACACGCAAGCATGTGATGGAATGTGAATTTCTTTTGGGCACGGGCAACCCTCTGCAGAGATCGCGCAGGTCGGACATCCAAACATGTGGCAGAATGCAAGTTTGGTGGGACCCGGCGCAGCCCCTTCGCACGAAATGAGGGTCAACCGTCAAAAACTGGTGTAAAATTGTGATTTTGAAAGTTCAGATGCAAGCGTGGCATGAAAGTCAAACGGCAATAACTGTGGGAAAACTGATTTTTTTAACGTCAGATGCAAACGTTCAAGAATTGGTGTAAAATTGCGACTTTATCCATTTTGAAACGTCAGGCACAACCGTTTCGCACGAAATAAAACTTGTGTAAAATTGCGATTTTACAAGATCAGGCGCAACCCTTTCACGCAAAATGATTGTCCAACGTCAAAAATTGCGATTTTCCAACGCTGGATGCAACCCTTTCGCAAAAACTTACGTAAAATTGTGATTTTTCGAAGTATGTAAAAGCTGCTCTGTGGAATCGTTTTTTCTGTGGGAAAGCGTCTGTGTGTAAAGGATTCTCTGTGTAAAAGCTTCTGTGCGTAAAAGCCTCCGTGTGTACAAGCTTCTGTGTGTAAAGGCGTCTCTGTGTAAAAGCTCCTGTGCTCAAAAGCTTCTCTGTGTAAAAGCTTCTGTGGAAAAGCTTGTGTGTGTAAAAGCTTCTGTGTGTAAAAGATTCTCTGTGTAAAGGCTTCTCTGTGTCAAAGCTTCTGTGTGTATTGGCGTGTATATGTCAAAGCGTATCTGGGTAAATGCTTCCTTGTGGAAAGGCATCTGTGTTCAAAAGCTTCTGTGTGTAGAAGCATCTGCCGCATCTGTGTGAAGAACTTTTGTGTAAATGCCTCTATGTGTAAAGACCTGTCTGTGTAAAAGCTTGGGCATTTGCGTGTTTGAAGCTTCTATGTGTATAAGATTGTAAAAGCTGCTCTGTGCAAAGGCCTCTCTCTGTGTAAAAGCTTCGGTGTGTAAAAGCTGCTCTGTGTAAACCCTGCTCTGTGAACAAGCTAAAAGCGTCCGTGTGTAAAAGCTCTGTGTGTAAAGGCGTGTGTGTAAGCTTTTGTGCGTGTGTAAATGCTTCTGTGTATAAAAGATGCTGTGTACAGTAAAAGCTTGTCTGTGAAAAGCTTATGTGTAAAAACTTCTGTGCGAAAAAGCCTGGGGGCGTCTATGTGCAAAAGCTGCTCTGTGCATCTCTGTGTAAAAGCGTCTGTGTGTAAAAGCTGCTCTGTGTAAAGGCCTCTCTGCGTCAAACCTTCGGTCTGTAAGCTCTGTGAACAAGCTTCTATGCGTAAAAGCGTCTGTGTGTAAAAGCTCTGTGTGTATGTAAAGCTTTTGTGCGTGTAAATGCTTCTGTGTATTAAAAAGATGCTCTGTTTAGACGCTTCTCTGCGTAAAAGTTTCTCTGTGTAAAGCTTCCGTGTGAAAACCTCTGTGCGTAAAAGCTTCTCTGTGTAAAGGCCTCTCTGCGTCAACGCTTCGGTGTGTGGAGTGTGTAGAGTGTAGAGTGTGGAGTGTGGAGTGTAGAGTTAGTGTAAAGTGTAGAGTGTACAGTGTAGAGTGTGGAATGTAGAGTGGAAAGTGTAGAGTGTGGAGTGAGGAGTGTAAAGTGTAAAGTGTGGAATGTAAAATGTAAAGTGTGGAGTGTAGAGTGTACAGTGTAGAGTGTAAAGTGTAGTGGAGTGTGGAGTGCGGAGTGTAAAGTGTGGAGTGTGGAGTGTAAAGTGTCGAGTGAGGAGTGTAAAGTGCAAAGTGTAAAGTGTGGAGTGTAAAGTGTAAAGTGTGGAGTGAGGAGTCTAAAGTGTAAATTGTGGAGTGTGGAGTGTAAAGTAGAGTGCGGAGTGTGGAGTGGAAAGTGTAGCGTGTGGAGTGCGGAGTGTGGAGTGTAGAGTGTGGAGTGTGGAATGGAAAGTGTAGAGTGTGGAGTGTAAAGTGTGAAGTGTGGAGTGTGGAAAGAGGGGTGTAAAGTGTGGAGTGTGGAGTGTAAAGTGTGGAGTGTGGAGTGTGTAAAGTGTAAAAGGTGGGGTGTGGAGTGTAAAGTGTCGAGTGAGGAGTGTAAAGTGCAAAGTGTAAAGTGTGGAGTGTAAAGTGTAAAGTGTGGAGTGAGGAGTCTAAAGTGTAAATTGTGGAGCGTAAAGTGTAGAGTGTGAAGCTTCCCCCAGAAAAAAACCAGAGAGTCGAGACGAGACACGTGGGCGCAGAAAAACGAGAATTTCGTGCGAGACCTCTCCATGCTCGACACGTTATCAAACAAGTTGGAATGTCACAAAGTGCCATGCTTGCCAAAAAGACATGACAACCTGCTTGGAAACCTTCGAAAAGGAGAAGTTTTGCAGCTTCATCTATAGACACGGCGAGGCCACAGGAAAACCAGAGACTCGAGACGAGACACGTGGGAGCAGCAAAACGAGCATTTCGTGCGAGACCTCCTCCAATTTTCACAGTTGGAAACCTTTGAAAAGGAGAGGTTTTGCAGCTTCCCCTATAGACACGGCGAGGCCACAGGAAAACCAGAGACCCCAGACGAGAGAAGTGGGAGCACCAAACCGAGCATTTCGTGCGAAACTTCCTCCAAGTTTGACACTTTGTAGCTTCAAAATCGACGTTTTCCCACGAGTTTTCTCAGGAACCTGAAATTTTGCTATCTCAAAATCGATGTTTCGTGCGAGGCATCCGTCAATTTTTAGCGCATCTAACAAAATGCCACGCCTGCCACGGAATCTGCACCTTGTCGCCACTTGATGCAGCCCTGCCAATGCGATTTGCAAAAAACATGCAACACGACACGTCTAAAGTGCCGCACCTGCCACGCAAAATGACGATGGACACGTCCAAAGTGCTGCGCCTGCCATGAAAACTGCAATGCATCGCCTGAAAACGTCGCAAAAATATTGCGCCTGCCACACAAAACCATTTTCGACACGTTGCAAAACACGTTTGAATGTCACGAAGTGCCACGCCTGCCACGGGAAACGAAGCAACGGGACGTTTGAAACATCCAAAAAGCACCCCTTCTGCAGAACTTACCATAGGCACGGCCATACGGCCCTCACGTGAACGGTTGCGGACGGTTGCGGACGGTTGCGGACGGTTGCGGACGGTTGCGGACGGTTGCGGACGGTTGCGGACGGTTGCGGACGGTTGCGGAACGTCGAGCGAACACACCCTCAGCCCCCAGACCCCCAGAGTGAAACGGGAACCCTTGCTACGCATTCGGAAAGCTAGGGGAAACCACATATGGAGGCACGGTGGAAATGGGGAATATGGCTAGGCATATGGGTATCAAATGCAGTATCATGATTAGATGCAAGCCACTTATAATCGGTGGGTGGTATCCCTAATATATGCCAGCTAGATTCACAGACATATCAAAAGCTGTATGGACTACAAATGCATTAGAAACTATGTTCTAACTGGGATGCACACCAAGCCGGGAATGAGGAAGGAAAGGTGGTTCAAAATCGGAACGCGAAATACATGGGGCATATGGAGATCATATGGATATGTGTAAGCCACAAAATTACCTGGAGCGCTGGGAACTCAATGCTCTTGGAACAATCTACCAAATATCTATATATATATATAAATCCACATGTGTGGTTTGATTATCAAATTATATGACCAAATTACATCAAATCCTCAGAACCTGGGAGGGGTGGATGCACGCAGGAAGCGGGATTCCAAGCCAACGAGAATATGGGATTTATGAAATGGGCGAAATGATGATATCACTCTATGGTTGACAAATATGTTACATGTGTAAATCATCCAACCTTACATATCATCCAACACTCATGACGATATATTCTGGTAGAATATGGATGTGTGACAGTGTAACCCTGAATATCATCCTACCTGATGTGACTTTCCTTGCAGTCCGAACAGAAACTGAAAAAATGGCGATGCTTGGGGCATTCCAAAACTGCTGTCATATAATCTGCCCCCTAAAAAACAAGCTTAGGGTGCTCGCTCGCTATTTTCAGACATACTTAAACTTTATGTTCGATAGATAAAGGAACATGATTAATTGCAGCTGAAACACCCACTAACCCCACCCAGGCGTATTTGCTGAGCTGAGTCAGATCCTTCAGCAGCGCCATCAAACAAACGGCCGGGAAGATGAAGAACCAGCGTAGCCTGGGATCCAGCGACTACTTGGAGGATAATCAATCCATATCTGAGCCAAGGATTAATGTTGGACGCCGATTAGTATCAGGATCCACTATTGTGTCAAGTTTTCCCAAAATAATTCTGGGTCAGTGGAATTGTTGGGGTGGTACGGTATTGTGGCATTTTTTTTCTGAGGCCATTTTTTGTTCAGTTTTTTTTTCATTTGTTGTCTTCCCTTTTGGAGCCTTTTTTGTTTTAATCAAACTATTTAATGAATACTTGCAACATTTTTTGAACATACAAAGAAATAATTATAGGATGCCTTGTGAAAACAAAAAAACAATTTTTCAAGGGAGTAGTCCATGAGCAACCCTGTTCTTCAATAGTATGTTTGTTGTGGCGGTCCTCTATTGTGTCCACTTTTTGTTTGGAACATTTTATTTTCCACAATCCTGCTCTCCTTTCCTTTTCCTTTCCTTTGCTAAAGCGTTTCTCTTTTTACTTTCTTAGTTCCATTCTTTTGGAAATCTCCATATGTTTAATCTCCATTTCCCAAAAATCTCTGATTTCCTGTGTGCACACGCACACATGAGGCAGGAGCATGGTGTTCCACCTGGTGGTGTGCAGCATGGGTTACTGGCCATGATGTTACAGTTGAACTATTTGCAATCATTTCTTGGCAAATGCAGTTCATGGGGTTACTGCTTGTGACATGGGGTTACTACTTGGAACATGGGGTTATTGTTTGTGAAAAGTTCAAAAAACACAGTTTTGAAGTGATCTCAAAGTATTTTGATTATCTTTTGGGAACACAAAAAACATTGTGTTTAGGAACAACATGTGTTTTTAGAAAAATCAGTTTTTTCTTTAGATTTTTTGCTGCCCTGAAAGTTTGTTGCAAACTTTCAGTCAAACTTTCAGGGGGGTTGCAAGTTTGACTGAAACTTTCAATGCAAACTTTCAAGGCTGGATTGCAACTTTCAATGCAAACTTTCAAGGCTAGATTGAAAGTTTAATGAAACTTGCAGGGTTACATTGAAACTTTCAATGCAAACTTTCATTGAAAGTTGCAATCCAGCCCTGGAAGTTTGCATTGAAAGTTTCAGTCAAACTTGCAACCCCCCCCCTGGAAGTTTGACTGAAAGTTTGCAACAAACTTGCAACAAACTTTCAGGGCAGCAAAAAAACTACAGAAAAAACTCGTTTTTTTTTGAAATCATGTTTTCCTAAACAATAACAAATACAAAAAAATCTAAAGAATGGTTTTCAATTTGACAAAAAATATATTATATACAGATATTGAAAACTTTGCTTTCAATGGCATGTTTTTTCATGCAACAATATGTTTTTTTAATTGTAGGTTTCATATATGTTATTAACTGAAAAATACTTAAAATAAACATACCAAAGGAAATGAAAACCAAATTGGTTGTGCAAAGTACACTTGTAGCCTTAATTGAAAATATGGTTTTTGTGCCTTGGTTTGCCAACAAATAACAATAGGGATATACTTTTGGTTGTATGTTTATTTTACATTTAAAAAATAACCACAAATATTGGTTAGTATGCTTTGTATTTTTTCAGTTCTAGTACAAAACAATAAAAATTGTTGTTTATTGTTCAAATTGTTTTGGCATGTTGCACCCACCATGTTTAATGTGTTTTAAAAACTAGACGACGGATGGCCCGAGAGCGTAGAGGAGCAGGGTCTTCTCTTGTTAGTATGGAGACACAATTTTACAAACAATATATGAAAGATGTGTTATAGGCAGTCGAGAAGAGGAGTAGCAAGACAAAATAGTGAGAAGTGCAAGACAATAGTTTGCATCGCAAACACTTTTACACACAGACGCTTTTACACACAAAAGCTTTTACACACAGAAGCTTTTACACACAGAAGCTTTTCCACAGAGACTATTACACACAAAGCTTTTACCCACAGAAGCTTTTACATACAGATGCTTTTACACACAGATGTTTTTACACACAGACGCTTTTACACGGACACTGTTACACACAGACACGTTTACACACAGACACTTTTACACACAGACCTTTTTACACACAGGAGCGACTTTTACACACAAACGCTTTGACACACAGAAGCTTTTACACATAGACGCTTTTACACACAGGCACTTTTACGCACAAACACTTTTACACACAAACACTTTTACACACAGACGCTTTTACACGCAGACGCTTGTACACACAGAAGCTTTTACACACAAACACTTTTACGCAGAAACACTTTGACACACAGACGCTTTTACACACAGACGGCTTTACACACAAGCGCTTTTACACACAATCACTTGTACACACAGACGCTTTTACACAGAGGCCGGCCCAGGTAGTCACAGCGAAGTCATCGTTGTCGTGGCGACCTCAGCAATCCGACGGGGTGGTGTGGCGAAGTCCTATTTCCATGTGCCTCGAAACCAGCATGTATAAACATGTCATGCGGGCTATGTGCTTTGGGGCCCCCCAACCAAGGTGGTTTGCCATCTCCTGAAAAAAAGTATAAACGGGCGGACCTGGCAGGCGGCGACCGTTTCTGGGCTGGGACACGCACAGTATTACAATATGACATAAGTTGGTTCTTTTTGGGTTTAGGGACCTGACTCCTGACTGTGACTGGAATTGAAACTCTTATCTTAACACTCATACATCCATCTCTATATATTAACACTCATACATCCATCTCTATTTCATATTGCTATTCCTATCTCAATATAAAATATATCGATTTGTCTCTTTGTGGTAGCAGCCTGCCTATCCATGCAATCCATCCCATCCCGGGGCCCTGACTCCATGCAAACCTAGCTGCACAGACCAACAACTATATGCGCAAAAGGAATCGGCAGCTTAGCTTTATTCATCTTCGATGGAGTCTCAGCCCGTTCTGCTTGACGCACGCCGATGCACTGTGGTGAGACAGGATGCACTATGGTGAAACTGAATGTCTCAAGCAAAGATGCGTGCATCAGCAAGTCTCAGACAGTTCTGGTTGACTCATGCTGATGCACTTCATGTTCAAATTCAATTGACATCAGTGGCTACCGCGGTTGATCTTTATCTGGGCACCTCCACGGACCTTAGGTAAAATCCAACTACCATGCTATATAATATGAACAGGTACTACCACTGCCTCGATCTGCGAAATTCGTATCCTGTCTTATGAGGGCGGTGTGCTTTGGGGCCCCCCAACCAGGGTGGTTCTGGCAGGCGGCGGACATTGCTGGCCACCTCAGCATTTCGACGGAGGGGTGAAGTTCGTACCATGTATTTGTACTTTGTATTGCTCAGACAGTTCTGGTTGCAATACAAGAATCAAAGTTAAACATCAAATAACTAAGCTGCTCACAAAGGTGTTGAGAAGACAAAGAATCGACCTGGCCCCCCGCCAGGGTGGGGGAACCATTCTATCACCTCAAAGTCTTATAGGAGCAGGGCATAATTATATACCTATTATCAAACTCTGAAGCTAAGGCCTAATGCTGTTAATCTAAATATTGAAAAGATCTAAGATGACGACTCGACGATGTGCACCTCATCACAATACGTGACCAAGTGTGTAATGTCATGGCGAGCCTAACTAAAACTCTTGTCAGTCCCGATATTGTCCTGCAAAAGCTTGAAGCCATCACTGCTTGCAGCAGCTGAACCAAAGCGTGCACGGCGACAACCTGGTCGTCCATCGCGCACTGGACACTGTTTGTGTGTTGCCGCATCGCCTCCAGGATGTACACTGGTCATCCAAGCGGCACTCCCGTCCTTTGGTGATGTTCCGAGCAAATGAACGGTTCGGTCCTTCACAGAATGCAATGATGTTGTTCCATTCCAGAACCTGCCATCCAATGAACAACGGCTAAGTGCACATACTCAGCCCGCCAGTTGGATCTCCTAGTCCAAGGCCCAAAGCTCCTATACTCCTTGCTCACCCTTTTCTTCACACGTCTGTGATGACCTTGGTGATCGCCGTGATGTTCTTCTCCAGGAAATAGCTAGTTACTTGCTTCGTCAAAATGACATCGTTAACCATCAATTTGAAGCCACTCGATCAATCCCAAAAAAGTTCAATGGACCATCTCAAAGGGGATCACTTTGAAGAAGCAACAGAAAATATGTTTTGCTTTTCTTTACTTAGAAAAGTCCGTCCGTCCAGAGAGAGGCCTATCTGCCCACAACAAGAGATCTGGGGGGAACCAGGGTTACTGGCACTGCAGGCCAAAGGTTATCATAGATTCAATTGGGAGGAAGTGACAATAGATGTACCATGGCTGATGGCGTGACCATGGTACACCATCACTTCAATTGAAAGTCATAAGACCTGAGGAGGAGCCTGGACACGTATACCTTATATCGTGCGTGCATGTGTCGATGGGGTGGCGTGGTGAAGTCCCATTTCCATGTGAACCGGAAAAAAAAGGAAATGCTCTTACTCGAAACCAGCATGCATAAACAAGTCATGAGGGCTGTGTGCTTTGGGGCCCCCCAACCAAGGTGGTTTGCCATCTCCCCACAAAGAAGTATAAACGGGCGGACCTGGCAGGCGGCGAACGTTTTTGGGCTGGGACAAGCACAGTATTACAATATGATATAATGGGATGGCCCTTGTGCTCCTTTCCATGTGCTTTTTGGGTTTAGGGTCCTGACAGAGATGACCGGATAACAAACATGCCAAACAATCAATGGGGCAAGAAATCCAAACATGTCAGCAAGGCCTGAACATGACAGGGGTGATCGGAAAATAAGCATGCCAAACCATAAACAAGTCAAGCAAACATGCACACGAACATGTCTGCGCGAAAGAAGATCTGGAAATGCTTGCGGTCATGTTTGCTCGAACAGTTCCGGTAGCAAACAAACAAACGTTCGTGCCAACCTCAGCAAGGAAATTTTACAGTCATGTTTGCTCGGACACTTCAGGTAGCTAACACAAAATTTTCATGCCAACCTCAGCAAAGAAATGTGATGCTGAAGTGTTACCCATTACCCACTAACTCCACAACCCCAAAATGAGT